GAAGGCACAAAGAATTCAAAAATAGGTTAGAGCATTAAAAAGATACATACTTTTAAATAAATAAAGCAAACATCAAAAAATTAACAGCAATTTCAACAGACTGACAGCTGCGTCAGCTGCACAGTTGTTAAAAGAAAATGCTACAGTACAAGGTCCTGCAAGTTCTGTTTGTTCTGATGTCAGACCACCTCCTGATCCAAAATTGCAGAGCAGCTTGACAGCTGCTAACACAGGTCTGCTGAGGTTTGCTTTGTGCTCTTGGTGTTTGTGAGCTGATGTACAGCCACTGTCTGGTGCTGTACTGCCTATCACAGCTCCTTTCCAGTAGTATTTTGATTTATTGGCATTTGTCACAAAGTGAGATGCTGACCTCTAGGGAAGGTACCAGCAGTGATGACAAGAGCCCACTGTAATGGCCCCACAGTTGGAATTATCTACCCTTGTTTGTATTTCTCTTTCCCTTCACAATTCAGCCATCAACTCTGGATTAAAGATATTTAGGAAAGCCATCAGTGGGAAATACAGACTGTTAGAACTAGCTGAAGAAATAAGAGCCGGGAGAAAGGTAAATCTATGCCTTCACAATGGTACTGCTCAGGAGCTCCAGGAAAGCACAGAAGGTTCTGAAATGTGGGTGTGAAATTGAAGTTGCTCTATTTACTAAGAACATGAGGATAGAAAGGGTTACTCTGTAATCCTGAAAGGGATAGAAAAAGACCCCAAAAGCCTTTGCAATAAAGCATGTGTAAGTGTCATTACTTTCTCAACGGTTAGAATAAATTAGGAAAGGGGGAAACTAAATTCTTAAGATAAAGGAAAGTTTATGCGACTAGAAAGAAATAAATATAGCTAATATACTCAACATATTGTTCCAAACATTTTTCATTGTATTTTCTCCCTGTGCAAAAATTTTACATAAAAATAGAATGCAGTATCCTCTCAAATAACGAACTATTTTCTCATTTGTAAGAAAAGCAAATAACCCGCCCACTGTCAGAAGGAAAGTGCACATTACCAAGTGATAAGGTGGATGAGCTGTAGCAGGATTGGTCAGCCTGAGTTTATTTAGTCTTTGTCAAAGCAAATATTAAATACATTTTTGTTCAAAATCTGACTTGTGACACCTGCTTACCTATTTTTAGCTGACAAAGTTCTCAGAGAAAGCCGCAGCCACTGCTATCTTATCTTTCAGTAGGCTAAGTGCTGTTTATCTTGCGTGAGCCCAGCATTCCTTGTTTCCACAGGCACTTTAATTAGGATGCATGTTCACCCAACAGAAGCAATGAATGGAGCGGTAAACAATAGTTGGTTGAGCAGTCTGAAGAATTTCATTATCAGTGACTTATGTAATCATTGTAATTAAAAAAGATGAAAGGTCAAGCAGGACAGTACCTCAGAACAGGTACTTACTGCTCACCAGATAATTTGTTGGAAGTTGATGCCCACCACACCATTCACAGTCACAATGCAATCCTGTTAGAAAAAGCATCTTGTGTGTCAGCCTTAAAGTGATCCAATTATTATTATGTTAACACAGGTCATTTGAGATGCTTTACATGGAATTATCAATGTGCACAACCTATTGTACACATTTAACTGGCCAGCATCTGCTTTGCACGTGTGCAGCCATGATCCTGAGACAAGCAGATGAACTGTGGCAAGTGAGAATAACAGGAGAAACTGAAGGTGGTATGGCAAAGAAATCACTGCCTGTGAGGAATTCACTGCTGCAGTGGCCCCCACACTACTCATGTCTTCCAAAAAAAAAATTACCTTCTCCAACTTTGAAGTTCTCCTAATACTCTGAAGCTACAGTTGTGCTCAAGAAGCAGATCCACCTGAGGCTAGCTCTGAAAGTTTAGGATTTCCAGGAAATTTAAAAATTCCATTTGGGATTCGCAGTGCCTTCCTTAGTGTGCTTCATTTGTACAGCTCCTATGAGGTTCATTCTCACAGTTCAGTTCATTCAGACAGTTTTCAGATACCCAGATGGCAATCCATATGTGTTTACCCAAAAGCAACCACATTACATATTTCTGATTCCTTGTCATTTACTGAAAATATTGATAGATTTATTTTAATTATTGATTGTAATTTCTTAGTATAATTTAAAAGTGGTAGCACACCAGACACATCATTTGCACAATTTCACTGACGTCAGTATTACATCAAAACCTTTTACCCCCAGAAGGATTATACAGTCTCACAAAGGAAGAATGAGTATAATACGATTTCTTGACAAAATTGCTGATTCTTCATGGGAATTGTTCTGCCTTGTTTTATTTCCCAAGCACTCCAGAATATGCTCAGGCAATTCTCAGAGTGCCAGACAATTATTCCCAAGTGAATTATTTTTGATTTTAACACATTTCTGAAAATGTAATAGAATTACTGTTACTCTTTCTTGAAAGAACATATGCTATTAATTAGCATCAGCTAAAGCTGCTACAGACATGAAACAGTACAGGTCACCATGTGGGTAGAAAAGGGAAATTGGAAGCAAAACAACACAATGCAGTACACTGAAGGGGTGTGTGAGGAGACCATGAGAAAATTGCCTTGACATCTACCATTGCACAGAATCAACCCCACCAAAAGGGAATATTCACTTCAGCTGCATTTGCCTTAAACACTGAATCTCTCACTCAGTTCACACAGAGCTAAATTGTACCAAATGGTACCAGGGCCTGGTGACTCCTGTCTCTGGGAAAGGTCTTGCCCAGGGCCTGACCCATATTATTGCCAGTCAACTTGCACAGGTGATCTCCTGAGCAGAAACTTCACTCCAGATTCCTACTGCAAAGTTCTGGGCATATAAGTGGGAAAAACTATAAGTGACCATGCTGTACTAGCCTGTAGCTGGGACAGGGCAAACGTTGTCAGTCCTTGATGTTGCAGAACACATCAGTTACTGTCAAAGTTACTTTCATAACCATAGATGAGATAAAAAGACTTATCTTGAAATCTTTCTATTGTGGTTTCCCTGTCCCAGGGATAGGCTGACCTTCCACAGAGCCAAACACCTTGTATTTGAGATTTGGCACAGTTTAAAAGCCAGGTTTTGCTCAGCATGTACTAGAGTGCCACATATGATCAGAACAGCAAACCTTTCTTTGCATTAACTCTTTTTGCTTGGCTTGTTAATTTCTTAAACATGGCAAAAATAGCTGATGTCATTTCCAGACATCCATACCAACTGAAGCAACAAGACTGATACACAGAATGAATTGAAGGGACTGGGAAATGTTGCATGGCACATCTTGACAAAGTGTCTATTAGTTGCATTTTACTAGATGTCCCCCAACTTGATAGAATTATTACCTATCAGTTACCTAAATCTTGACATTTAGCTTTGCAGAAACAAATTAGGTTATGAATGCAAACATATGCTACAACATAAGCTAAAATAGAGAAATAACAAGTCTTCAAAAGGCTAAGAGCCAAAGGGTGACCTTGCTCACAAGATGCTTTCTGCAACCCATATTCTGGGTTCAGTTCCTGGCTCCTTCAGACTTCCTGTGTGGGTTTTGATGAAACAAATCTGTGCCTCACTTCCCTATTATAAATACAGTCATTTGTAAAAAGATTTGCCTTCCAACAAGAGCCAGTCAAACACTAAACTCAGTGGCATTTTAAACTCAAAAGGAACATCAGTGCAGAAACACTCAAATAACGAGCAGCTGCATCTGTGACATCAAGGATGGGCACCTTTGCTTTCTGAGTGCATCTGTACTGCCCGGGGACTTAGGGTGGGTCTTCCATTTATAAAGGTTTTCTTTGCTGTTTGGGATTTGCTTTGTTTTGGTTTTGAAGCTGAAGTATTTCAGTTAATCTTTGTTTTAAGCAGCACAAATTAGGTTTGGCTTATAGCTGGATCCTGCAAGCAGCAATAAACACTACTCTGCCATAATAACTATAATTTTTTTTAAACATCCATTATTATTCAGGGAAGACTATCTGTTTTTAGATTCTGGAAAGTAATGAATATTAGAGTCACTTACAATGTATTACCTGCTTTCTAAAGTAATCAGTCATTAATAAAGAAATGATTCTTACAAAACACACAGGCCTTGGCAAACCAAGCAGGTGCCCTTTAAAGGAGATTTCATACCCTTGCTGAACACTTAATGTGATCCAGAAATACACCTTCAACTCGGTTACATAAATTTTGTCAGCAACTGAAAAAGTAATATGTTCTCCCTTGCACCCTTCTTAAATGCTTTGTACAGTAAATTAATGTACAACAGATCTGGACATGTCGGGATTTTCAGATTTTTTTTTCCCCTCACTAGTAGTTAAATGCCATCTTTCCAAGCAAGATGGGGAGCTAAGTAACCTCTGAATATTTAAGGTATTTTTGGTACAATAGAATGCTAGACTGTGTGTTTTCATCTTTCTCTGTGATGTAAAAATTTTCTCAAAGAATGAAGTTCAACGTATAAATAAATTCCTAGTGATTAATCTCAGAGATACAAATGAGTACCTAATCTAAAGTCACTTATTTTCTTAATTCATTGCAGTTTGTATTTACATACTTAATTAGTATTCAGAGTGCTTAAGTTTAGTTTCTGAGATATCTGAATAACTTACCTCATTAAATATGTCACCTGTTTATGGAAAGAAAATAATCTAAATACTCTGCTGAATTTATAGTTATCTGCTATTTTCAGTCTCTCATGATTTTTGACATATGCTCACTAGCCAGTATTATTTTAATTTGGAACTTTGTTAATTGAAAGAGGTTTTTTAGATTTCATTAATGATAAAAATAATCTAAAAATGTTCAGCCTACTCCTAACATTCCTGCCTCTGTTTTACTCTGCAAAGTCTGTATTAAAATACAAATTGGTTGTTGAAACACTTGAAGATGGCTTATTTTCAAATTCAAAGACATTGATACATTGTGTTAGACTTGAAAAAACTTGACATTTAGTTGAGAATTGTTAAAAATTAAATTCCTGTCACAAATACTGTTTTCTTCCTCTTTTTTCCCCTCCTAGGTGTGAGCTTCATCTTTTTTCCCTGAAACTAGGTTACAGCTGAGAAGTTGAAAATGATCCCAAATTACTCTACTGAAGAAACTGTTAAAAGAATCCACGTGGACTGTCCTGTTTCAGGACGGCACAGCTACATCTACATTATGGTTCCAACCGTTTACAGCATCATCTTTATCATAGGCATATTTGGGAACAGCCTGGTCGTCATTGTCATTTACTGCTACATGAAATTAAAAACCGTAGCCAGCATCTTTCTGCTCAACCTGGCCCTGGCTGACTTGTGCTTTCTGATAACTCTGCCCCTCTGGGCAGCCTACACGGCCATGGAGTACCAGTGGCCTTTTGGCAACTGTTTGTGCAAGCTGGCCTCGGCGGGGATCAGCTTCAACCTGTACGCCAGCGTGTTCCTGCTGACGTGCCTGAGCATCGACCGCTACCTGGCCATCGTGCACCCGGTGCAGTCGCGCATCCGCCGCACGGTGTCCGTGGCCCGCGGCACCTGCGTGGCCATCTGGCTGCTGGCCGGCGTGGCCAGCCTGCCCGTCATCATCCACCGCAACATCTTCTTCGCCGAGAACCTCAACATGACGGTCTGCGGCTTCCGCTACGAGAGCAACAACACCACGCTCCGCGTCGGGCTGGGCTTATCCAAAAATCTGCTGGGCTTTTTAGTTCCTTTCCTGATCATCTTAACAAGCTACACCTTAATTTGGAAAACACTGAAGAAGGCATATCAAATTCAAAAAAATAAGACTAGAAATGATGATATCTTCAAGATGATTGTAGCAATTGTGTTTTTCTTTTTCTTTTCCTGGATTCCTCATCAAGTGTTCACTTTTCTGGATGTGTTGATTCAATTACATGTAATAACAGATTGCAAAATCACTGATATAGTGGATACAGCTATGCCCTTCACCATTTGTATCGCTTACTTTAACAACTGTCTGAATCCCTTTTTTTATGTGTTTTTTGGAAAAAACTTTAAAAAATACTTCCTTCAGCTAATTAAATACATCCCACCAAATGTCAGCACACATCCAAGCCTCACAACCAAAATGAGCTCCCTCTCCTATCGGCCACCAGAAAATATCCGCTTGCACACCAAAAAGACTGCTGGGCCTTTCGACACCGATTGAGGCATTTCACAAAGTTCTCCTTTGGAACAGCCTTGTATGTGAAGCACCAAGAACAACGAGATTCATCTGCGGTCCTGAACATCACAGCTCCTTACAGCAACACTGGATCACCTCAGAGAAATCATACTGTAAAGAGTCAGCAGTGGCCTTACAGCTTCCGTTGCAAAGAGGACTGCTTCGTTTTCATTTCACTTTACTGAAAGCAGCCCAAGCGTTGGACAGGTGTGTCACAGTTCCTGCCACATCCCACTGTTTGCTTGGAACTACGAAAGAAGGGGAGGGAAAACTCCTAACTTAAGTTCACAGGTGTTTCAAAAGGAAGCACTTGTATAAATAACATTAAATGCAAAGAACCTGACTTGCATATATGTGAGCTATTCTGTTGAAGAAGTGGAGCTTTTTTCTTGTTTTGTTGGTTTATTTTTAATTACATAAATGTCCTATAATCATATTTATAATATATTTTCAAATATATGCTATATATAGAGGCCCAATTTTAAACTCAAATGGAAATTTAAGGTCCTTGAAATTGGTCTTATTCTGATTTATGCTACTATTTTTAATGGCAATTTTTTCATAATAATATATGCAATAAAATGCAGATTTATTTATTAAATATAGAATATATTTTTAGATTTATATTCCTACTCATACATTTCAAACATTGCTTCAGAAATGTACATTTATATGTCAGTGGGTATTTTTGTAGTAGTTAACAAAATAACTATGTATGTGCACAGAAATGGGGCTCACTCAGCCTTTCCTCATAATAAGCCACCTTTACTTTGAAGAACTTTATATACAGAGGGAGTTGACTCCATACTCTGTATGACTAAAATTTAAAAATTTCAAATTCCTGCACATTTAGTAAACTCATATACTGATAAGCAAAAATATGACAATGCTTATGCATCAGTTTATCTAATAATACTTTTGGTCCCATCACAAAACATCCGAGATCAAACTTTACTCTTGGTTTTTATGGAATTTCTCTCTATTTATTTAAAATTATGCCCAGAGTATTTTCTCCCATACATTATTTATTTATATGGAACAAATTCAGATTTATACTAGCATAAATCAGAACTAAAGTCTGGCTCAAATTCTTAGTACAAATCAAGAGGAAAGGAGACAAGCACTGTGGGAAGTTTCCGTCAACGATATCCTCATATGTGTCCTTTTTACCTCAAATAATGAGCTTCAGATAATATTTATGCTTGATTCACACCCATTTATTGTCTTCAAAGATAAAGGAATTCATAAGTACTTTTTGACATTACAAAACTTTAAAAAATCCAAAACTTTGCATATATCATCTAAAAAATTACATGCCCCTTGAGGATTTACGGTATTTATTATCTTCAAAATCATACATATAATGTGGCTTTGTCTCAAGTAGCGAGAGGTTGGATTATCCATATTTTCTGATTATCAAAATCAAAACAACAAAACAGTTACTCCTGTAGTTTAATACTTTTTAAGGAAAAAATGGGACTACAGCCAGGTCTAGAAATCTTCCTACTCCTTCATTCACCTATACTAAGGGACTTTTTTTCAGTTTTGCCTTTGTTCATCCAGCTGCAAAAATGGGAACAATGCATCTACTCATACATTGCAAGGCACTCTGATGAGTCACAACTTTTAAAGCTGTTTGATAAAAACCTCTCCTTCATTAAAACTTTAAGTTAATTTAATTGCAAGCCAGCATCTTGACATTTGAAGCCTGAACGTCATTTAACTATGGCATTTAAAGACATCTTTAAATTGTTATACTGAATACTTTCTATTTAGCTCATATCCTTACATGTGAGACAGCCATTTGCTTAAATTGGCAATAACCTCATGCATTATCAATAGCACCCAGAAGAGGACTGGTGCCCCAGCCCTCTCTAAGCTGACAAAAGGCTGGCAGAGATTCCCATTTATCTGTATTTTGTTCATGGACACACACGCACATGCTGAGCAGCATCAGGAGCTTCCCTTGGCAGAAGCATCTCTGTCCAGCCATAATTCTGCATGCTGTGCTTGCCACCTGCTGGATGCAGCCACAAATTTGCTTGACATTTCAAATTTGTTACAGGAAGAAACAGCAACACTTCCCTGCCACCTGTAGGATCTGAAGATCCTCGTTTGTGGCAAAACTACTTTATAAATAAAACACAAACTTGTCCATCTGGGAGGCCAGTAATTTCCTTGACAGAGTCTAAGCAAGCATTTTCTCATCACCTGCTCATCCCTTTGGTCACTGAAACCCAGTGTCCCCAGTGACCACAACAGGGAGCTCATTTCAAAACATTGATTGCATTACTACAAGAGCCATCTCAAAGAGAAGATGTAAAAATCAAAGCCATTGGTTACTCATCTTGATAAGTTCATGCCAGATCCTGCAGTTTTAAGAGGCTGTGTATCCTAAGCTACTGGTGCCACCTGCATCTGCCTGTGCCATGTGAAGGAGCAGGAGCATGCACATTCAGCTGTGTTACTGGAGGAAAGGTACGAAGGGATTGCACCTGGTGTGCACTGAGGGCAACACAGACCTTGAATTGATAGGCAAAGAAAGTGGAGGGGAAATCTTTCGTAAATAAAGCAGGGAAATTTTTGTTCTCCTAAGCAGTAAGGAAACAATCATCAGCTGCCAAATATGCTAGCACTTTAAAAGAAAAAAAATAAAACCCACAAATCAGCAGATACTGAAAAGAGCCCAGAGATAAAACTTTCCAGCAAGTCTAACTGGGAAGCAGCAGAAAGTAAACTCCTTGCAGCACAGCGTTATTGTGTACAACCAGATGCTGCAGTTTCACAACACCCCAAGGGAAGAGCCACAGGATGGAAATCCACACCACGTCCATCATGTATCTGCAACCAAGGCAGGTGCTGGGAAATGTGTTATTGCTGAGCCTTACACTCCCCTGCCCACCTGTGCATGGGGCAGGCACAGGGGACAGTCTGGCCTTTGCTGGGGATCCTTGGTCCTGTGCTCCCTACTGAGGGGCAGAAAATTCTTTGGTGCAAGGACCTACCCAATGCCAGAAAAGGAGGGGTAAGATTTGGCTCTGTATGACTTTGCCATCTTTGGTGAACTTTGCATTGAGTCCTCTTAATATCAAAAGAAAACTGGCTGTAGATGTTTAAGAACAAACTCCCATTAGCTTAAAAAACACAAGGTTAAAACTATTAATATGCATTAGTATGCAGTTAGTTTTAAAAGGAATATCCACAGTGCTTTTCATTCCTGTCATGACCAAAGTAAAATACTACAAAATCTTAGTCCATCCTTGTACCCTGCTGTTGTGAGGAACCCAAGTCAGTTCTAATGGGAACGGCATATAATCCTAAATGCAGGCATTACAGCCCTCATTCCACCACAATTTGATTTATTTGAACGAACACCTTTTATTTCTGCTGAATAATTACTAAATTACATATTTGACATGTACATGCATAACATCTATTTTTATTTATTGTGCAATAGTATTTTCTATGACTCATGTTTTGTGCCCTACTCCCTGCTTGCTTGCTCATTGTACACCCATCCTAAATCATACTGTATAATCTACACTGGTTAGCCCAAATTCCAACAAAACCATTACAGATAGAGCAGGAATTCATCTGGCTTCTTGGCCTAACAATTTCCTCATGTTTACATTGTTAATCAAGAGGTTGCAGAGTAAGCACAAGACTAGAAGTCCTTTCCTTTGCCAGCATTACTATTTCTATTGTCTACATGAAACTGTGACAGCAGCAGAGAATAAAGTTAGTTTTCTAGTTTTGCTCAAATAGCTTCAGCAAAGGTTTTTTTTGATAAACCTGACCTCCTTTTAAGTATACTAAAGTGCAGGTATTCCCAGGGAAATATTTGCCACTGAAAGAAGAAACAAATCCTTGGGAGAGGGTGGTTGAAGGCCTAAAACAGGGACTTGTTGAATTTGTAAATATTAAATGTTAAATGTAAATATTTATTTTTGGTTTTGCAACAGACTGGGGGGAAAAACACACACAGACAAAAAGAATAAATCTTTCAGTTTAGTGCAAAGTGAGGGCTGTTCCATCAATCACTGAGTGCACCTCCACAGCGACCTCCCAGCCAAGGCTGAACTAACAAACCCTCAATGCTGCAGCCCAGCTCAAGCTCAGTGTCACCAGCGAGCTCTGCAGATGTGGCAGGACACTCAAGGGATGGGGACAGAGCAGATCACGTCTGAGAACAGCACTGTGTGATCTTTTTGCTGAACTAGTGCCATGGGCACCAGCTTTGTAGTTGGCAAGTTAGATAACAAAATCTAGGGGGTTTTTTTTCCAATATTTTCATGCAGTTGTAATTTGTAACTCATGGATGTTAAATGTTTTCTATTTCAATAGCCATAGTTTTATATCATAGAAGCTTACCTTGATTATATAAAAACTTTCACTGTCTGAAGTATTACTAAAACCACACAGGTCATCAATAAATGCCTTTGTGAAAGTCATCTCCACTTCTGTGTTAAGCACCCAAAGCAAAGAGATCTGTTTCTGTGTTGTTGTAAGTAGTATACTGTTACCTGTGTAACTACTGCTATATAAATATGTATATATAAATATTTTTTAGGCAATATCATCCTCAAAGTATTTCTGTGTAATGCTGTAACATTTTATACCACTATTCCTCATTACTTTTAACCCTGCTCCTAACCCAGCTCTCCCTCAAATCTTTGAGATGAACAGGTTGTGTCTGCAATTCTTATTGGAGAAGATACCTAGCCAGCTCCAAAATCACTTGTAGAACAGCAGTTCAGTAATTCATGTCTGTACCCCAGAACAGACTAAGCTAATGAATTTTACTGAGAGGAGACTTAGCAAATTGCTAATTTTCTTACATACAAGTTGGAGTTTGAAGCCAAATTTAGGCTTAACCTTTTAGAAACTGAATTTAATTGTAGGGACAGATTTATTTAGAATACAGTGTTAAATACAGGATCACATTACATTATGAATGATGGCCTTGAACAGCCTGACTCAGGCTGCCTGCAGCCGAGTACTCAATGTAAGTACATCCACTTAGAATATAAGCAATGCCAGATTGTACTGTGGCTGCAGTGGAAACAGCATCAGGTTCCAGAAGGGAACCTGATGATAATAAGATATGACAATATGATAAGAAGGGATTGGGAAGGGGAGGAGGGGTTGACAGTGAAAAGAATGGTAGACTGGATTTTGCCATTTCCAATTTGTATGAAAATAAAATAGAACCTAGTATTTAGCATATCCCTAGTAAATCCCACTTTGTCTGTGTCTTACAGTGTCACATACTGGAAAAAAGTGAAAAACAGTTAAAGGTTGGGCCTGTGAAATTGTTATGGAGTATCTACTGTACACCTTATTTTCCATGTATCTAAGTTATTCCTCAGCTTTGTGTATTGGCAGCTTTGTGTACTGGTGGTGGTGTTAGGCTACAATTAAGCAAAGGCAGGACAGACAGAACCATATCTTGGAGCTTTATCATGAGTGATGAGAGGTGAAGAATTGTTAGAAAAGGAAGGAAAGCAAGGACAGTTGCTGAACAAATACAAAACTGTAAAGATAATTAACCCCATTAAGTAACATATTCAAAAAAATTTTTTTGAACCAAAGTCAGCCAAATAATTAAAAATAATAAAGCAAAAAAGAATAGAAAATGCTGAAAGAGAATTTCAATTCCACTGCGAATTACAGAGAACTTCAAACATCTCCAACTCCTATGCTCAAGCAAATGCAAACCTGACCATTTCTTCGAAATTGAATGAATAAACAGAAAAGGTGTAGTTAACAAATGTGTCTAAGATATGAGCAGCCACTTCACTCCTATTGGCTTTTCTTTCAGAAAAACTTGAATTATGTACTAGAAATCCATCATATAAATATATGCCCAGGAAAGGGAAACAACATACTGCCTATGGGCTTAGATGAGCTTTGAATATCTAGCCTGAATCTTCCTCATGCTTAGTTTATCACATGGTAAAGAACTACACCAACAAAAAAAAAACCTAAAAGAAATTAAAAAATAAAAAACCCAAAACAGGTAAACCAGAAAACAAAATGGAAATAAATTAATTTGTGAAAATATGTATTACAGTAGTGCTATTTAACTTCTAAATCACCTATGAAACACTAAAGGATCTAAAATAACTTTGTTACAACAAGCTTATAGTAATTTAAGTATTTTTTAAGCTTCTATAATGATTATGTTTTGCACTGTAAAAAGATCTCCAGGCATGAGAAGCGAGATTCCAGACCCAAAGCCCTCTCTCTGCACAGCAGCACCTATAAAGTGAGGCCTCATGTATGATTTGCAGGATGCCTTTCAAAGGCAGGACATAAGTGCACCTGAGATGGAATGTCACCTGCCAGAGCATTGCTAGTGTTGAACCTGACTTTTGTGATGTGATTATCCTAGATACAAATGGAAAGAAGCAACAGAAAGGCCTACTCTGTATACTAGACTGTACTATACAGTGCCATTTTTTGCATGTTAAATTCTGAATAATTATATTTCTGTTATTTTTTTATTTTCTCTGCTCATCTATGATGGCTCTCTATACTGTGATCTGTCATTTTTACATGAGAGTACGCAGCAGATACGGACTGTTCTGTTTAAAAAGAAAGTAGCATTTTCAACAGCTTTCTGTCTAGCACAGCTGCAAAACCAGTAGCCTTTTTCACGGAGCCATCTACACCAGACTGGTTGTATTTTGAAATACTGAAAATATTAAAACAATACAAAATAACATAAGTGCCAGTTTAACTTATTCTTCATACTGTAGGTTTAGACTGTTTCTCTTGAGTTTTGTCTTTCCTTAACCCTACAAGTAACTGTGTTTTTATCTTTAACTCAGCAACATAGAGAACCATGTACAGAATCTGACGTGAACACTTGATTCTAGAAAATGTACATTATCTGTACAGCTTACATGCTAGAAATTCTATAGTTGCTCATAATTTTTTCTTTAATCAGTAATGTTTGTGATTTAATATCCTGTTAATTAAAGAAGACTTTAAACATTAGAAAAAATACACTGTATCTACTGCTTAAGCTTAGATAACATTCTACCAAGGGATGTGCTCCTACAATACTTTTCACAAAGGATTCACCACTAATGTGTACATCAAATATGTTTTAAGTGCTTGAGAGTTCAGTACTAAAATGTCAACATTCAGTACTGTGACCCAGAAATATGCATTTGATTAAAATGTGGAACTGAATCACAATACTGTCAAGACTCTAGAAAGTATATGCTACATTTAAAAAAGCTAAAGACATATTCCAATTTTAATCTCAGTTCCAGCCCAAAAGTCAACTGCAAACTTTTCATGCAAGATAAACTTTTCCTTACACTTCACTGCTTATCTTGGAGCTGTTTAAAGGCTAAATTTTCTGCCAAGTTAGATCAATTATTTTGACAAGGCTATCCCACGACAGAACATAAGCCTTTATCTCTCCTGACACAGCATTTGATTGGTGATTTGGTTATGTCACAGGAGAAGCTGATCAGCACTGCAAAGCTCCAGAACTCCCAGCTCCAAGGAGATCATCCAAACCTGCACAGGAGATCAGTGAGCACAGAGCACAGCAGTGCAATCCAGTTTCACTTACTGCAAAATAAAATTTACTCCCCTGGCCCCATACAGCCATGGAGGCAATGACATCCTGAACAAAAATTATTGTGGGTAGAGATATCCCTGAAATTCAACTCCTATGCAATACCTACAATATTTCACTTACTGATAACTGACTGCCAGCCAGCATATACCAACACACCACTGCTGCACTGAGGTATGGACTAGAACACTAGGGCTTGTTTTTGTTTGGCAAAGCCTTGCATTTAATTTATCATGTCTACACTTAAATTTTGGGCTTTCCACCCTATGTTTTTCTCCTAACAGCTATGCATGAAATACTCTCTAGGGGTTAAGTTCATTATAACAAAGGAGAAAAACACATGGGCAATACTAACAATTTGCTCCAACACACACTGTGTTAATCCCACATTGTTTTTAAATATGTGTTTTCACAGAAAAACAAAGGAATCTAAGACTTTCCCTATATGTTTTTAATTTGGGAAATGTTTGATTTCCCAAAAGCACAGAGCAACTCTCAGGAGGTCTCTAACAAATTTGAAAACAAACAAACATTCTTTTGCACAAGCTTTGAATCATAATGTAGACAGTATTTTAGATGCAAACTGCTGACTGCACATTTGACAGGATTTTGCTGGCAGTCATTCCAGTATTTCTTTCTCCTTCAGAGGGCTTCTGAGTAACAGGACATAAAATATTCTTTTAACAGAGGGTAAAAATTAAAATACACACTGAACAATAAATACTGGAAGACAGGTCAAAGCAGCTGTGGTTCCTAGAGCTGTGTTACCCACTATTAATTTCATTATGTTGAAAATGGTACAATTTCAAACTAAGAGCCTCTCTAGCAGGCAGAAGTGGTCTGAAGGCTCATTATTATTTCAGACTCTTGTAAAAATATAAATCTTCAGGAATTATAGGACTTGAAGTTGCAAACATGCATTTAAGTGTACTTTAAATCCCTTGGTATTCTACATTTCAACTTTCAAATTACAGCTTGCAATAGCAAGCATTGACATTGATGAAGAGAAGCAAAGCAGGTCTGTAAACATTGGCCATAAACCTGTCACAGCTGTTCCTGTGTGCAGACTGCACAAGCCTTGGAAGGTTTCCGTTGGGCAGTGCCAAAATGTTTCTTTCCCATCTAAAATGGTATTGCTCTGTGGACAAGATTACAATTGCTAGTTTGGTAAATGAGACTGCATTTTTAAGATTATGAAAAAAAAGGAGAAAACTATGCAATCACCTAAGTGCACAATATTGAAGACTTTTAAGAATATGCTGAGTGGCACTGGTGTGGAAAAGAAGTTTGTCCAAACCACAAAACACACCCTGAATCCTGTTCACACTGGTATCAGCTGGAATTTAGTTACTGGCTTCAATGAAGAGACAACATTAGGTTGAAAAACATATCATACACTACCACTCACTTTAGAAACGGAGAAAAAATAGCATCTGAAAAATTATTTTATCTTCTCTAAGACAGATATGAAAATATGACATGTATTGTGCCGTCATCTGAGAGGATGAATACAGAACAGATCAAGGCAAAATGATGGAGCCAAGCATTTGGTCCATCTGCTTATAAAGGTTGCTTTAAACACAGCCAAGCCAATCTAGAAAACACTAAAAAAATCAACAATCTATTTCTATATGCTGTGAAGCAGCTTCCTAGCCATCTTCTTTGGTTTGTGCAGGACCCAGCATTCTTTGTAGCACATACTAATCAGGCTATCAACCTGATGTGATTCTGCCTCACTAGCAGAGAATTTGAAATAATTTGCATTAAAACCATGTAAAGTGTCACTTAATAACAGAGTCAGTGGAATAAAACCTTAAGTTGAGAGGAGGAAGTCAGGAGGAAACCCTAGCAGCATAAAAACTTTTATTGGCACTTATGAGTATTTTTCCCTGACTGAAGCAGAATTCATGCAACAACTAATTCCATAACAAAGATCTGTAACTAGCCCTTAAGAACTACTGTTAGTTTCTGACCATTCAAAAGCTTCTTTTGTTTATTTCAGGAAATGAAACACCAAATTTACTTTAGACTAGCCAAAAGTGAACACCTTGGCTAACATCAGCTAATCTCCCAGTGCTTGTATTTTGCTGAAGGTCCCACTGTCAGATAGGACCTTCAGAGATTTATACACTAATTTATAATTGTAATTAATTCTTGCCGCCCAATCAAGGTTTTTAAGGTAGCAATACGCACTTCAGTACGCGGTACTTAGATCATGCTGTGCAACAGTAGAAAATATACAATCAAATATAGTGAAGGAATTATTGGAGATAAGTAGAGATAAATTATTGTTAAATAATTTTAACAAATTCAATCTGAATTATTGTCAGCGAGATGTATGCTATAAAAAGAAAAATCAGTATTGCAATAAATTCACATCTACACACATCACAGCATAGGCCACAGCTTATAGCACATGTCACAGTCAAGAGGGCCGTGACACAGAGAGTGCCACCACACAATATCAGAAAGCTCCAACCCATACACAGTAATACCTCACCTCATCAGAAGGCTTCAGGTGTCTACCCATACAGAGTAACATCAGATCACTTCAGAAGGCTGCAAGCATCTGCCCTTCTGGTTCTTTAGCCCAGCCTTTTATCTCCTCCTGTTGATGCACTGCACCTGTGTGCCCTCTGTTCCCTTTGGTGGTTGGTCAGTGCCCCTGGGCACTCCACGGCTCGTTACCTTCAATGCTGCTCACCTGCTGCTCACAGCTGAAACCAACTGGGGATGGGGCTCAGCCCAGCCCCATCCCAATCACCACAAATTGTGTGCCTACGTACACAAAGACATCCAGGCACTTCAGCAATATTTGTATGATACACCTTTGTCTTAGTAGCTAAAAAATTACTTCTATGATGTTATGAAATGTAAAATGTTTTTTGTTATCAAGTTCAAACAACAAGGCTAGGAAGGAATGGAGAACTTCTACAATTCTTCATTGCAGGGACCACATTCAGACCCATCATCACATTCTTTTCCAGTCACTTATTCAAAAATCAGAAAATATCCCTGCAGCAAGTGTATTGCAATAGTGCCTTAGCTGCTTGATGCAGAACAGCAACTGAGAAATTGTCAGTGAAATGGTAGCAGGGGAATGTGTGTTTCTGTGTGTTCTGTTGATTTTTGCATATCTGTTTGGTTTGGGGGTTTGGGGGCAGGGGTTATGCATGTGAGGGTGCATTTACTACAATTGTTTTCTCATTTAGAAAAAGCACATATCTCAGGGTCTGTTTTTGTTTGTTTCACATACTCTTTATTTAGGTATAGCCCTTTTTATTTTGTTTTCTTTTGTTTCCCAAACAAGGTTCTCTGTCTTGGTATTCTCTAATGTTATTTGAATCTTGTCTTTCACCTAATCACATTATTTCAATAAACTTGGAAAGGTCCAATCCTAACCCTATAAACCCAAAAGAGGCTCAAAACTTGAGACACACAACAGCTCACTCCAAACACCACTGCAAAGCTCACCATCAGCTTGGAACCATAAAGGAAGGTAAAAAATATATCAGTCCCCATCCCAACCAAGCAAGCAGACGTATCTGTCAAACACATAATTGTTACAGACCAATTCCTCTCTCCAGAAGAGGTGAACACCTTCCTGTGCTCATGCCACCAGCTTCTAGAAGTGGGGTTTTCCTGTTTTGCTTTTCCAAGTGAGAGCACAGGGCTGACAGAGGGGGAGCCCCTCCATAGCAGAGAGCTCAGACTTCCCTCTTCCATTTCACGTGTTTGCTGTTTCCCCTGCTTTGTTGTTGACCTCCTCATTATATCCAACCTTAAAATTAAAATTATACAGACAAGAAAGACAACAAAGCATTAGAGAAATAGTAAAACTAGATTTTAGGCTAGCCCTGCTTCTGTTCATACATGTAATCTGCAATTTGCTAGAACACATTTCCCCTCAGAAGGCCGTTAAGGAATGAAAAATATGTAATACAATCTTTTGAACGCGTCCCTTTAAAATATCTACTTGGTTTACCACATCACACTCATCATGTCTATCCACAAAGTTGCAACAAATTTCATTTAAAGTTTCATTGACAAATTATTAAATACTCCCCAGTTTGCCAAATTTTCCAAGGGATACAAATCTTCATGTAAAAATGCTGCTGTGAAAGACAATTCTGTGCAAACTTAGACATACAAATAAAAATAAATCACACTAAGACATCACCCCATGTGATTTCCTGAGGGAGAAAACCCCATAAGATTTACAGAGTTAGGAAAAACATAATAAGAAATAATCTGTGAATTAATACTCAAATCATAGCATAAGGATTTTATATACTGAAAGATTTACTTTTATCTCCACTTAATTTTTTTTCTAAATGTAAGCACTGTTATTTATCAACTTCCTAGTGAAAAATATTTGTGGTCTTCTTCTAAAAAATGATGAAGCAAAACAGATGCTGCAGAGCAGAGCACAGCGACACAGGGAACTGTTGTTTGCTCACTCTCCAGTGTGCCACGCACATTATTGGCAATCATGCAAGCCCTCATTAGGCCAAGTGCTGAGCCACAATGAAGCCTTGCTGCCTTGGGAGCTGTGCACGTGCAACTGAGATCAGGATTTGGCCACATCTGTGCTTTCCTGGCCCAACAAGCACAATCCTTTCTATACAAATTCTTACAGATGCACAGACAGTAACCTCCCTGCTGGCAGGCAGCTCACAGAGCTCACGTTTGCCTTTCACCAGGACACTGCCCAGCAGAACACCAAGTAAGAGCCTGCTCACTTCATTTATCAGCTGCCCAAGCACAGGGAGACTGTTGTGATTCTGTCATATCAAAGCCCACTCAAGCACCAGCTTGCCCCAGAGCACAGTGTCATCCTCTCACTGTGGGGTGCCCAGTGGCTGCTGAAGCTGTGCCTTGGTCCTGCTGAAGGGGCAGCATTTTCATCAGTCTCTCACAGCACAAAGACTTTGTTCCCCATCCAGTACAGGACTTACAGAGACCCCAGCCCAAACTGGGGGGCTGTCACTCAAGAGAGGGTTCCTGGGTGCTGCCCTTTCCACCTGGCTCCTGCAGGGCACACACATTCTGCTGCCACACTCCTCCAGACCCACACCCAGCCTCTGAGGACACTTCTGTGCCTCAGTGAGCCTGACCAGCAGCACCTGGGGGCTCCCCAGCCTGCCCTGGCCCAGCAGCCCAGCCTGGGCTGTGTCCCAGCCCCAGTGATGCTGATGGACACCAAGCTGTGTCCCAGCCCAGCTCTATCTCCATGGCCCTGCTTGGCCATCCTATACTGTGCCCCTCCCAGGTGCCCCTCACCAAGCCCAAAAGAAGAGCACTGAGAGGTTGGAGGTTACTCTGGCAGTGGTCTCTGGGGCCAAGAGGGGGCCGTAGCAGAGATCAGAATGTAGAAGTTTTCCACTCAAGCTTACTCAACTGCATCCTCCACAAATCCCTCATCAGAATTCATAATGACTGGTTAGGATTGTCGGAATAATTTCAGTCTCATCTTAGCTTCTATCTGCGTTTTAAGACACAGTCTCATCTTGAGTTTTGTTGGATATTTAAGGTGATCTAAAGGTTTTTACCAAACCTAGGCAGTCCACCTGACAAGCATTAAAAACCAGGTAGGGAAAAAACATGCACTGCAGACAGGTCTGGCCTACTGATAAAACCCCTTAGAGGAGGAATGTCAAATGAGGTATTGTATTGGCAGCTTGAACTTGCAGTTCACCCCTTCACCATTTTCTTCTTGGCTCATTGGATGAGAAACCAGACATGGGTTCCACATTTCAAAGTTCAACCTGTTTAATTCATTCATAAACAGCTTTTCCCCAATATAAACACTTCTTTTTGCAACACAGAAAAGGAGAAATTTTGGCACCTCAGCACTGGAAAATTTTAACAGATAGCTTGGATACCTATTAGAAATGACACAGATTATCCAGCTTTGTGACAAAACCATGGACTAACTAATTGGTCAAAACTTTCTATGGGTTCTGACACTTCTCAGAGACATTTCTGAGGCAGAGGAGGAGCTGATGAAATAATTCAGTTGTTAGGCATCAGCTTCTTCAGTTGTCGCTGCTGTTCAAACCAGCAGGCAGAACCCCTGCCTTTCACTACAAACAGTGCTGGCCTTGTGCTAAGGCTACAGTTCATGATACTGACTTTAATTTATAGCGGACAAATACAGCCTGTGATAAGCTTGGAAGAACTAGAAAAGGCCTTGGCAGAGCTTCAGCACAATCCCGGCACAATATTTTTTGGCTTTTTGTCCCTTGGGAAGGTATTCCTCTACCACAGGTGGTGTTTCACAGGAAATCATTCAAAATCTATGCTCTTTAATTACTTTTGACTCTTGCAGAACTTGCAGTCTCTCCCACCAAACCAGCTTCCAACACTGATGTCAGGATATGCAATTCAAAGATGGCAGGAGGATCTGGTTTATTTGTAAATGCTGTTATTTGTAAATTCTGAAAGAGCCATGAGTGCCTTATATTTATGATGAACCATTTGTCCTGTGAACACATTGTTTTACAAAGTTCATCACTTTCCCCTTTTGTCAGCACTGGGCTACTTCATAACAAATTATTACTTTTTTTCTAAAAGATCATAATCCTTAAACAGCTTTTTAATTAATATGCAATTTTTTACAAATGGAAAAAAATTAATAAGTACCTGAAATAATATCAATGCAACCTAAAAACCCCCAAATTTGTAACATTGCACAGTTCCCAGTAATGATCTGCAAAGAGCTCCATATATTTGTATCCCTGTGGCTGTCCTGGGGTATGGCCTCACTTTGAGCACTTCTCAAAAAGGGGTCTCCAGGAAGCAGACACTTTCCTGGCAGTAAAAGAAGCATAACCTACATTTAAACCCTTTTTCCATGTAAGTAATTGGAAAATTACCATTTCTGTAATGCTAGAAAATTATGAAGGGAATGAAGGTCAACACAAATGGATATGGACTACAAGAGGCAGTCCTCCTCTAACCACGTGGCCTTAGCCACATGCTTAAGGACTCGTGGTGTAAGCCTGTTTGAAATGCAGATTTTTATTGGAGTTTTTTAGTACTTTGTGCTTGGGAGGTTGTTTATATTTGTTTCCATATATAAGCTTCAGTTCTTGCAGTCTCTTAGTCTTCTGCCTGACTGCAGTTCCTCAGGGCAAAGAAAAATCTTATAAATCAAAATTTTTTTCTGGATTACACCGTAGGGGAAAAAAAAAACCAGAAACACAATGCTCTTACTGCCTAACTCTCAATTACAGAAAAATAACATCAGTGAGAAAATTACTACTTTCATAATTACTCTTTTCAAGAATTGTTTTTCAAAATTCCATGAAAAGCTCTGAGTGCATTTCAAACTTTGAAGCAATGAAGCAGATCAAAGTATGTGTATGTTTATTCTCTCTTACTAAGGAAGATGCACGGTATTTGACAGCTACAAGAAATGTTTTTGTGGAACTTGTAGGATCAAAATGGCAATAGACTTAAACCAGTATGTATCTTGACAGATTTAAATACAAAATATGCATGTAGTGTTGCCAGTTAAATGGATGGTGGTGTTTTTCTCTCCTTCTCAGGACAAGCATGGAATGTTTTAGACAAGAATCAAAAGAAAGGAAAATTATATTTCTTTTAGTCATTAAAAGCATAGCTTTCCTGTATTTTAACTAAACTGTGTTTGAAGGGGGGAAAAAAAGGCTAGGAAAAAAAAAGTCTGAATTAAACAGGAGATAGGACACAGTTAAATGGATTAGATTGCCTCAGGAACAGAGGTATGTGTATTGCCACATACACCATTTCCAGATCTTCAGTACAAAGTACTTCTATGGTTAGGAATAAATCAGAGACAGTATTAAAAAAATGGCAGTATCTTCTTTAACAGAGAGAACGATTCCTGAGAGATTAACAACAGGTTTCCTCTGTCCTTCAGTACCTTGACCAAAGTGTCCACCAGGATGTCTGTTTCTTCTTTCTTTGCTACATTTCTTAGAGCTGTATCTGGAAAGAAAAAGGCCTCTTAGTGTCACTGGGCCAGCCTTTTCAATGAAAAACTCATAGAGAAGCAAAATATTGAGGAAGATGTTTTGCCTGGAAGCAAAGTTCATCCTCCCAAGCAACATCTACCCTTGGCTTTGTCCATTTTCCAACAGCAGCTGCTGGTCATCTGTCATACAAATATGCTTTCAACATACTGGGCTTGAAGCAGCTGCACCAACTTGAAACTCATTTGGAAAACATGTTTATAGAGAAAGACAAAGGAAATGACCTGTAACATCATAGACACAATATGTTCCACATGAGAGCTCCATCAGTTGGGTTTTTACCAACTCGATTATTTTATTGCTATTCAAGGTCTTCAGTTTTCATTATGCTGCTTTTGTTAGTAGGTCTGGAATACCTCTTGCTTCCAATGTGTGTTCCCATTAATTTCTGTGGTTCTTTGGTTCCAAAGGAAAAGTAGAACAGTCATTTAAGTGGAAGGCTCCACTAGACACTCCTGTGCAACTACGGCAAAATGCCCAAGTGGCATCAATGACTAAAGCAGGATTTGCTTTCTTAGCAGGTGTGTGAGGAGAAGATACAAGCAGGTTCTTCCTTTCTTTTGTGGCTATCAAGAGACAAAAATATGTGTCAAAGGAGAAGTGACACAAAAGGGTTTAAAATTAATGGTTTTTCTTCCAAGAAATTCCCATGCAAAATCTGCCTTGAACAAAGTGATCCACTTCCACCCACCCACCATTCAAGCCATTAGAATTTAGTGAAATGTAAGTTAGACTACATATCTAACTATTGTGGATGTTAGGGTCACATCTTAGAGCATAATGAAGAGAAAGTTGATGAAGAGGGTATGCTCTCACCTTTTATTCTGCATAAATCCTTGTCATGATCCAGAATTATTTCCAGTAAGCCAAAGTAGTAATTTTTGTTTCATGACAAACATCTCTTAGTCCAAGTTCCAGAAGCTTGTTTTTCAGTGACAGGGAGATATTGAACATCATGACCTGTTTTCATTTTCCTCATTTGATAACAAATACCAGTTTCTTCAAACATGAGAGAAGTTTCAGCAATTTACCTAATTCAGAAAATACACTGGGACAAAAACAGCATTAATTAAAAACTGTATGAATCAAAACCAAGCAAAATCCCAAACTTCACATATTCTGTTCTAAGCCTTCCAGTGAGAAAACAAAGTCAAATGTGAGCAACGTACTGAACAAGACAAGAGGCAGCTTTGCTAAGGTAGGAAAATCTTTGGCAGCAAACCAAGAGGAAAATATTCCCCAACTCTTCTAGAAGCTGCATAGTAGTAAAAGTCAGCTAACCACAACAGGGAAGGAACATCACCTTTCACTATGAAACTTCTCAGGGTGAGGTAGGAGTACTATGGAGTTTTAAGGGGAGAAAATAGTAATTTTATATCAATATTTAAAGAATCTATGTTCCATATTTTAATTATTATTTTATCTGGCCAGGCTCTTGGACCAGATTTCCTGATGACATTTGCACAAAAGCAGCAGCTGAGCTGCTCCATGGCTGGAGTCCTTAGTCACAGCACATCATGGGTGTGACATACAGGCTGCAGAATACAGCACTGGCCTTGGGATGGCTTTTCTACCTTTCTATGAAGCACTACTACAGCAACATTTCCACATCAAAATACTTTTCTTTTTTTTTCCCCAGAAAATGTTTTAAATAATTCACAGAAAATGTAAGGAATTCAGGTAGCTGTGATGTTTCAGAAGGAAGTGGATCAAAGCATGGTCTCCCCTTTACTCCTCCTTCACCCCTTCTTAGTAGATCTGATTTCAGGGTTGCAAGCTGAGAAGTGCACCTGCAAAACTGGACCTGCTCAGTCCCAGTATTTGTGTATTACTACCTAGTTTTACAAATTGTTTCAAATCAAGTTGGTATAAGGAATATTTTCTCTCTATTGTGCTTTACCAAGCAAAAAAAGGAAATCATTTAAACATCTGGAGTTGCCTGGGTGTAATACAGAAGAATATGGATAGTGAATTTAAAACAGTTATCTTATCTGTGATGCCTAATATTTCCATGTATGCAGGCAAAAGTACTTCCCAAGAATGGTGCACTTTATGCTCTGAAGCTTGCTTCTCTTTTGCTTCATTGAGGCTCTTTTCATACAAGTTTAACAGACATTTGTCTTACTGAATTTATTTTCAGATGAATTCATGGAAATGAAATTTGTCTATGGTGACAGGATTAAATTTTTTGCACTCTGTGTTTTCCTTTGTTCCATGAAACCTACTGTTTACTAAAAATAGCAAATTATTGATTCTTTAAAAAGTCTACTGTTACCTTTTGTAGTTGAACTCCTTCTTTGAATAAAAGGAACCTAGGAAAAAATCCTCAGTCAGATTTTAATAAGGCTGTCCAAGTAGAGATTATTAGTCCAATTAATTGCTTTGAGAAGAGTTTTATGAATACTCTTGATCAATTAATAACAGTTTAATAACTGTTTAAGTCTGTTTAAGAAGGAATGTATTTTTACATGAACAAATTAATGTGCAGAATTTATTTGAACTTTTTTGTTTGGTATTTTAACATGCTTCTTTTGGTGCGGCTTTTTTTTGTTTGTTTTCTTTTTTAGTATGTTTTCTGAAACTCCTCTAGAAAGTAAGAAGGGAAATAATTGCATTGGTCTTTTCATGTCTGTTTTGTTGGGAAGGATGCCAGAGAATTAGCCAAAGTTTTATTTGATTATAGTAGAGTTCTACTTTCATCTGTAGCTTGTGAATTTGGGTTATTTCAGTAGATGTGAACAGAAAACTTTATTAATTTCCAAATAGTCTTGTTTTTCTGAAATGGTAGGACTCCCTGACCTTTGCTCAGGTATAACACCAGTTGATATAACCTGTTTCTCAGCAAAGGGCACTGGATTTCAAAACCATCCAGAGCTGAAGGATCTGTCTAAGCACTAGGCTTCAGATTCATCAAGCCTGCAGATAAAATACAAGCTATGCAGGAGAAAAATGTTCATAATTTATATCACCCATGAGGGCCATCACATACAAAAAGCAAAACAGAACAGTAAATTACCCACCAATCTGTAAAAAGAAATTTCAGTTAGGCCCAAGGGTGGAATCAAGCTGCTCAGTCCACTGTCTTCCTTGAACATTTCCTGTTGATGTTTTTGATGCATCCTGGACTCTCCTGATAACTCTCATCTGCCTTTGCTTCCACTCGTGGTGATCCTGCTGTGCTTGGTTAACACCAACAGAGCATCACTATCTGGATCATATTTAGTGGGATGAAATGGAGATCCATCTGTCAGTCTAAATCCTTCTGTAAAAACTGGAGGTGGATGAGTGCACACTGACAGTCTGATTTACCCTCAGCCCCTGCAGAGCCCAGGATGGGAATTAGGGGAATACTGAGGAAGACAACATGCTAATAGTCTGAATTACACACCCTGGAGAGGCCTCAGCAGTGGGCAGACACTCCTGGGTCTTGTTACAGAGTAATTCTAGCACCACCTCAGCAGCATCTGGTTCTGGCATTGTTGGAGATATTTGTAGGTGAGAATGATGTGCTGATCTACCCCAGAAGAGAAACTCCTAAACCCATCAGATAGAACCTGCACAAAGATGGGAGACAAAACTGGCTTCTAATAGTAACAGAACCGAGTGTCTACGCACTCCTGTACTTTCCTGAAGCAGGAACTTTTTGCTGCAGTTATGATCTCACTTCACACCACATGCTGATCTCAGTGCCTTAAATTTGTAAGGAGGAGAGCCTTATCCTTCTGAGTGCCTTTGAGCTGTCACTGAGTCCTGCCATGGCCCTGCCAGTCTCCCAGAGATCATGGCATAGGAATGATCTCAAGTATGAGAACTGGCCACAGTCTTGTACACAACAGAAAGCTCAGCCCATGGACCAACTGATTGAGCACATGTCCATAACCAATGGCTGTGAGGTCAGTCTTTCTCATTGCTTTATTAAACATCTTCTCTCTGTTTGGCACTAAATAGATTCTCAGGGCTTGGTTTCTGGGAATTCTGGTTCTGCAAATACCTTTATTCACTGCTTCTATTTTAGTCTATTTCACACTTTTTTTTCAATTTGGATACATATTATATATTCAACTTCTAGTTGGGGTAATAAAACACTTTCTAAACCCTAAGCAAGCTGTTCATGGATCATACAATGAAGCTGCAATACTACAGTCAATCCTGATTCCTAGAAGCCAATAGTAAAAATATGATACTTATTTCTCAGGAGATACATTGGCAAGAATTCACTGACTCTAGAAAAGAACAAGTTACAATTTCATATATTTCTCCCCTGACAAGTCAATAACAAAAGTACAAACACATCCCAAAGTCATGAGTGCTCCCTCTTTTTTTGCTCCATACCCTTGATCCCATCACTTCCATTCTTTTATCTTCTTATCCAGTACCTGCTCGCCTATTCAGTAGCATCTGCAAATGTGAAAAAAAATTTAAAGAGAAGATACCTACACATAGCGACCAAAACAGTAGGATATGAGCATGTCCCAGGGCCCTAAAGTTGAAAAAGCCTTTGATGAATTAAAAGAACATTAATAATATATAAATAAAGTACCAAGAAAGCTTGGATCATATGCTGGGTAGCAGCTTCTGCTGATCCTGGCCTCTTCAAAGTACTCTCAAAGGTCTTCAGAATATATTCAATAGTTTTACTCTTCAAAACCAAGGTTAGAATATATTACCCTAACAAATAAATGATCATAAGAGGGTTCCATACATCAAATACATGTGCCTGGTCTGGGGCACATGCTAGGAATTTGCTACATAACACACATAAGCAGGGTTAAGATTTGCACACTGCTTATCTTTTGGAACATATTAAATATTAAAGAATATTAAGAAGATAAATTTGTCAATCAGGGATTGTAAGAACTGACTATATTTTGTGACTAAAAAATGGTAGACTTTTTAAAAATGTAGATCAACAAACTACTGGATTCAGGAAATCTCTTATCTACAGAAAATCCTATGAAAACAGACCTTATTTATCCTCAGACTTTTGGACTCAGTTTGATAAAAATGGGATGAAACGCTTCGTAGGATAAAGGATGCTTCTGAAATGCTAACATTGATATGTATTTTTTCCTTTTATCAGTCTGTGGTTAGCCTTCATATGCTTTTCAAAGTGGAGTACCAGAGTAATTCTATTCCAAAAACTGAAATAAGAAATTACTACAAAGATGAATTTCACTGGAATGTAGCCAGTTATTTAGAGGGAATATTCTTTGTGAGTGACAGCATCATACGAGGCTGTATTTTTAATCATCTAAAAAACAAACAACTACAACAAAATTGCAATTGCTGACACTGTTTTTAGCCTCAGTTATGGTAAGTATAAGACAAAATGCCTGTCCTGAAGGAAATTACCACACATTCTCCTTTTGGATTTTATTTCCTTGATTACAAAAACTTAATTTTTCCTTCTGAATCTATTCAGATATAGGTAATGCTCTGCTCTCTGTGATAGGCCAAGGCTCACTCAACCATGGCCAGCTGATGATGTTGGCTTGTAATCAGAGGCTAAAAAGAACAGATGGCTTAACCAAATCTGATTTGCTCTTTTATTTATCCTTATGCTGCCCCTTTATCCAGTATATATACAAGTATTAAACATTTATACTATACAGTTAGAAGAACATGACAATGTTTAGAGCTAATTTATGAACTAACCTGACAAATATCCATCCTGAGATGCAAAATAAATCACTTAAGTAGGATTCCAGGTCAGTGTTTTTTTCTGATGTAGTCCGGGATGGAAACTGCAAAAACTGCTACTACAAATTCTGGTTTTCAGAGATGCTTGCCAACTCAGTAGTCAATGCTGCATCACTAATTGTTTGAAGATAAAAACCCCAAACATAAAACCAAAAAACTCCCCATCATCTCCAACTGCATGAGTAAGGAAGCAATTTATTAAAAGTAAACTCAGACTTTGAAATCTGGCAATTTCTATTTCCAAAATGCTTCTCAACAGGGAATGGTGACATCTGCAAATTGCTTGATTACTTCTCATGATCATTTATTCATTGCAAGTTCTGTGCTTGATCATCTCCACATTATTGTGTTTGCAATTGTCTTTATGGGATCAGACCCTTTTACTTGATATCTGTAGTGATGATCTCATCATCATAAAATTAAAACTTCTGGAGACTGTGCAGTATTGTTTTGACACTGTCAGAACAGCTCCTGGTGCCATCTGTCTTCAGAGGCTTGTCTCTCAGTAAGATTATTACTGGGCAAGAGCTTGCGGTGCTACAAATAAGGCCATTAATTGCAATCTAAGTTTAAATTCTATGGTTTGGCAAAGACAGTTTTCAATAAGCAGGCCCAGTAGACTTTTTGACTCTCCTTTTAGGCAAGTATTAATAATGGGTCATATTCATATGCATGAACATTGATTTAAAATTATATTTCTACCTATTCTGTACCTATACTTTAGTGAACTGACTCCAGAGAACCTTATAAAAAATTAGGTGTCAAGTCTGATGCCACATTCTTAAAATGCTCAATGACAATTAAATTTTCTGTACCTTGAAACTGTAACTACGTCTTTTAATCTGAGATGAATGATAATATTTTTCTTAATAAATTTTCACATATGTGTAATACACAGCAGAGTTTATTTCTGTCTGAACTCATTTAATTTGCCAGGTTACTTAGGCATAACAGGAGACAGAACTGAGTTCGTAAATTCCATTTTTTATTTATTTGTTCACTGATTCATTTAAAGGCTCCCTGTCGAAAACATCAGTCATATCAGGACACAGCAGCAACAGACAATTAATGTTGCATTCAATGCCAAGTACTCATTAATGAAAGCTAAACAGATGCAAGTGCACTGCTGCAAACACATCACTGTTCTTCAGCGTAGGCACAACATGAAAGTTAAAAATGCTTTAGCATGAATACATTTCATTTGATCTTCTTAGTAAATTCCACAGTATTGCTTAACCTGTAAGATATTTACCTCTGATCCACACATGATGAAATTAGAGAATGCACAAGAATCAACAGCTGTATCACATGCAGTACAGGTACAACCCTACTGCTACTAGAAATTTCTGCTCTTTCAGTTCTGCAGACGCCTGACAAATTTCAGTGAAGTGAGCACAGAACCAGTTCAGTGCTTTGCTTTCCTTCTCCGTTGGGGGGGGGGGGGAAAGCTTATTGGTATATCCCAATTGGTAGATTCCTCTTTGACAATAATATGTCAAAGTCAAATGTATATTATTAATGAAGAGCAACACTGTGATTAAGACCAGGCACACTGCAACAACATCTGATGGACATCTACCATTACATGAAGCAACAACAAAATATTATAAAGTTTGCAATTCAGCAACCACCTTATTAAAAAATATCTAAGTTTACATAAAACAGAAAATAAAATAGTAAATTAAATTCACTTTGTCATATCAAGAGTTTCCCAGCTCAAATAGCAAGATTCTTCAGCCAGGCCTCTGTGAGACTTTCAGCTATTTTCACAGGTGTAGAGGAAAACATGCGCTATAAATAGTATGCAAATAAAACAAGGCCAAAAGAGTAAACTATCAGTTGATCAGTGGGTTGTTCTGTGTATAACTGATAAAAAGAAGGACAAAACAAGTTATAAAAGCAGCACAAAAGAACAGAAGGCCTGTTTGAGAAAATGTGGGCACTCTTGGTTCTCATAGGTGCTGCATCTGTTTCTGCTCACCTGCAGGATCTTTCCTTTGATGGGTAAGAACAGACATCAAGTTTTATATCTGTGATTTCTTCTCCAATGATCAAAAGGCTTTCAACTGTTTCAAACTGAATCTTTTTCGCCCCTTACAGGCAGAAGGTGTTCCGTGTGATTCCACAGAATGATGAGCAGGTGGAAATCCTCAATTTCCTTGCCAGAATCATGGAGGTAAAGGACTTGGGGAAGTGGTTATATTGTAGTTGAAATAAATATTTCTCCATTTGCTCAAATAACAGATTTTTTTTAATTGTGCTACTGAATTAGAGACTCAATCTTGATTTCATTCAAATCAGCTGTATTGTTTCTTTGGAAGGAATAGGACAAGGTGATAAAACTAGAGCTCTACAAAACATTCAAATACCTTCCAAGAAAGTCTGGTTTACCCAATCTGAATGTCAAAGCGCCCACCAGAATTTGTTAATAGAAAAAATAATTCTTAAATGCTGTATTCAGTGTGAGGTGCTTTCAAGAATGTGTTAGATAAATCATAGAAATTCCAACTACCAGAACTTTTACTATTACAGGCGAAACATTTTCCTCCTGTAAATAATCTAAAAATTTATACTGTCAGCAAAATGAATTTTCCTTTGGCCTCTAGTCTCTCATGTTATCTTTTCTTCTGTTGACTTTCCTTTAAAGCTTCCTTTCTCTCTAAGCTGCAAGTTTCTCACTGACCTTGATGTAGATATATGATGACACAATGACACGATGAAAAACAACAAAGACAGCAAATGTGTTTTCAATATTTCTCTTCAGCTTTGATGTTGTAAAATAGCTGTTGGTGAAAAAGACACCATTAGCTGTAGGATGAAAGGATGGTATTTTTAATGAAGTACAGATGTGGAGACCTATCATCAACAGGCTACTACAGCATGCTGGAACAGTTTTCTGTAGAACAACATACTATTGAAATGGTGCTGCCAATATTAAGGAAATTAATACATATCATGCTTGCTTTTAAGTGTGAAGTATCAAAGGATTGTTTGTTTTCTTTTTCTTTTAAGAAAAGATCCCTGGACTATCATTGTTATACAAAGCAGTCAGTCAGGACTGATGTAATTGTATATTCTGGAACAATCACCTAATTTGATGACACATAATCATGAATAACCAACCCAAATTTCTTTTACCTTTGTGAGATGAAAGGGTGAAAAGGCATCGGGCTGGCAAATCATCTCTGTTTCCATTGGCCTTCAACAGAGCACTAAATCCAGAGGCCTGGATGCTTACTTCAGCAAAAATAACTGAAGTAGTAATAACACTGTTGTTTGTCTGCTTGGAATGAAACATCTTCAAAGGCACAGGTTCCTCATATCAACTTCAGTGATCTCTTTTAAAAGCCCTCTTACAGACAACAGTCTTTTTCAGATGATTTATGTAAAATATTCATACAGTTCACACCTGATGTTGAGTTAATTTCTCTCTAACATTTGTAGGCAAAAAACTGAGAAAAAAATGAAAGAAGCTGTAAAAATGAAAGAAAATATAAATATAGTTATTAATATAATACAGTTATTATAGAAATTTATATAGTAATAAATAATATATATTGTTATACATGTATAAATAATATATATTTATTATAATAAATGTAGATATAGTTGTGTAAAATAACTATATATTAAACATATACGAAAGTTTAAATATAGTTATAATATTTACAATTCTGTATGAATGCAGAGGCTGTAGACAATTTGTGGAATTGTTGCTGTCATCTCCAGAATTCTGCCATATAAAATGCAAGGCCTTTAGAAAATCTTAATCCATTTCCAGTTAAAATTTAGGTTGCTACTTGTGGGAAGCAATGCTGAATCAGTGTAATAGGATAGGCACGAAATTCAGTATATTAATCACAACCTCACCAGCACACATACACCAATCTAAAAAATCACAGCCATATGTATGTATTTACTTGTTTATGTCTTCATTTGCTCTTCTTTCAGGTTGACTTTTGGCAGCCAGACTCTGTCACACTGGTAAGGCCAAAAATGCAAGTTGATTTCCGAGTTGAAGCTGAGAAGACTTTTAAGGTTGAAGATCTTCTGAAAGAAAGTGGAATGGAATATCAGTAAGTTTGTTCTGACTGTACTTTGAATAGAAGGGGACTAAATACCATGGAGGATGTGTTTGAGCTTTTCATAATGGTCAACTGATTTTCCTGTTACAAACTTCATCCCTCCTATGGATACCTCTACTGGGTTCAGATTTTCTTTGACAGTTCAAGTGGACTGTAACTACTCCGCATTGATGGGGTGAGATGAAATGTTGATAGAGACAAGAGACAGGAAACAGAGATGCAGCAACAGAAATTTCCTTGAGGTGAAAGCTCACTGCAATACACAAGGCTGGAGTATGGATGGGGATTGAAATATTTCCTACTACAGACAACATGGAGCAAAGGTCTAGAAAGAGCCAGAAAATACACCAGATGAGGGAAATGGACAGGGAACTGAAGTCAGAAAATAAAATGATGAGCCCCAAGGCTACCATGAGCAGGTCCCCAGTGAGTTGCAGAACAATAGCTAGAGGGACAAAAAACCCCAACAGGTGACAGACAGAAGACAGGTGAAAGGCCAAGGAAGCATGGAAAACAGATTCCCAGGATAGCCTTGGGCTGACAGAAGTCAAATAGCAGATCCATGGCGAGGATGTCTCCAAAGAGAGAGCTCTATGACTGCAGCACAAGTGGAGAGAACAGAGCACACTACCACATTACACACCACTGGGAACAAAAGCTCTGTAGTGAGGAGCACTAATGGAAGAATAAGGAGAACGAGGAGTTGCCTGACCCTGTTCTTCACTTCATATCTTCCAATCACTGTGCAAGCATGAACTGAGGATGAGAAATTGACTTTGAGCTGGAGTGGAGTGGGGTTGTCTGTCTTAATTTCTCCTTTCACTCCACTTAAGCACTGCAGAATGGATCTGCCCAACTTCATTATCAGGCTTCTTTGATGTGTAAAGTATAGTCTGTCAACATCATGTACTCAGACACTGAAAGTCAGTAGTATTAGATCAAGTTTTCATTATTTCATTTGGCTGAGAGTAGAGTTTTTGTCTCTCAGCCCCACTGTTGAATCTAAAAACACTCTAGAATAAATGGTTTTCAATAATCCCACAGCGCACATACAGCACAGGAATGCCACAGAATCAGAATCCCACAGAAATTCAGTGGAATTTCCTCTTTAGCAAAGGACTTACTCTACATGTATTAGTTTTTCTGTAATATTCATTAACTGCTCCAGGTCTGTGCACAAATCTTTTGACTGCAATCAAAGGCCAGAATGTCTGGAAGCTGTCCCTGACAAACCAGTGGATTGTCCTTGTGACAAACCAAGCTGTTATAATCCTTTTGAAGTGCAGCTGCAGTGCCATGACATGATGTCACTTGCAATGTTTGTTCTGAAGGCTGCTGGTGCCTCACAAACTGGCCTCCTGTTCCTCTATCCAAATCACAAATGATCAAGGACGTATCCTGGCTGAATAAGATTTGTAAGAGTTGTAAGACAGGTGCTGGAAAAACAAGAGGACTTCAATTTTTGATATCCAAGGTTGAAATATAAGCAAAAGGTGCTCAAGAGTATAAGTGATAAGTTTTACCTCTGTATCAGCCCCAGGAAAAAATGGACTGGAGAGATCCAACCAATCCAGACTGGATGTTGAGGTTTTTTTGCAAATCTGTGTTGTATTTAATAGCTCACCTTACATGCAATGAAGTAGTTTGGAGGATAGATAATGCCACCTGAACAGAGCTGTCAAACCACATCTAACATTTGGAAGCTTGGTTTTACAGGGAATTTCATCAGGCAAACATCTCTGGGTTGCTGCCTGGTTTGCCTGGAATTCCATCTGGCAAACATCTCTGGGTTGCTGGCAACATAGGATCAGCCTAGAGCTCATTTTGAGACACGCTCTGTCTCAGCATTGCCAATTTTCTGAAACCAAACTGTTGCCACCCTGGAGGTTTGTTAGTGGGGGGTGAGGCAGCTGCTAATTGGCAGGAGCCTGTTGCTCTCTGGTCCTTTTGAGGCAAGGTTGAGGCAGGAGGCAGAAACTTGATATTAATATATCTTATTTCCAACCTGCCCACCTTTCCTTTCACAATCTGGGCACCCCAAATGCTGGGCAGGCCCTGAAATGTCTTACTTTCCTGCTGGATTGGTGTATGTTTCTCTTCACACTTTTCATGGTGCCTTCTTGCAGGGTTCTGATTGACAACCTGCAGGCTGCACTGGATGCCCAGTTTGACAGCCAAGCTCGTACTTCCAGCCACAGCTATGTGAAGTACAACAACTGGGACACGGTAAAGTCTAGAATTTACCACATTATCAGCTTGCTACCTTAGCTTCTGTAGCCAAAGGGCTTCCAGCCTTCCTCCCTTTTCCTCTTCTGCTCCATCCATTGACATGATAATGCCTCCAAACTCTCCTTCCTCTTCATTACTGAGCTAGTTTGTGTAACCTACTTTTATTTCCTCTACTTTGCTCCCAATGCTGCAAAGAAACTCTGGCAGAAATCCAATGACCAGGCTGAGATGCTTCACTATTTATTTCCTTTCCTTTTCACTACTTCTCCCATGTCCTTTGCTAAACAATTCTATTCCATTCCCTGTTTCAGTTCTAGCTCTTCATAAGACCCCTATCCTCCTTTTTTTCACAGCCATGCTCATTTTTCCTGACATGTAATCATGGTCAAGTTACTCTTCACATCTTTGCAGCGGCTCTGTGGAAATCTACAAATTGTATTAACTATTAGACCACATTAGATGCTCAGAAAGACTGTTCTGGCTTGAAATCTGCAAATTAATCAGTCTGGACCCAAGGAACAGAGATTTAGACTTAACCTCTTTATTAAACAGATAGCTGATTGGACTGCTGATATTGCTGCTCAGAACCCAGACCTTGTCTCTCGCAGTGTAATAGGGAACACATATGAAGGACGGCCAATGTACCTTCTCAAAGTAAGTGCCTCGATTTCTTCTCTTCCTCTATTTACATTAATGTGTCATTCAAACATACAAGATAAACTTTTAGAGACACTACAGGAAATAATTCAACCATGCAGAGTAATCAAATAATTGGGGGAAGCTTATCAACATTAATAAAAATTAAATTATTAAGAGTATTTTTGTAACTTGATTATCATGCTCAGGTACAGTTGGGAGCACACCACAGATTTCCATTTAAACAAGGAATGACATATTTGTATAAATAGGTCAGCAAGCTGACTGACTTGTTCTGCATACAATTTATTTTGTTCAAGCCCTGGGGTATTGTTTTGTTTTTTGTTTTTTTTCCTAGCTGGGAAAAAGCGGTGCAAATAAGAAGGCCATCTTTATGGATTGTGGTTTCCATGCAAGAGAGTGGATCAGCCCTGCTTTCTGCCAGTGGTTTGTGAAAGAGGTCAGTAAGTGTAATGATGAAAAAATATTTTGCAAAACCTATGTTTAGGTTAAATGAGCAGCAAGAACTCAGAGCACTGCCTTTCTCCCTTTAAATACATGTCTGCTTATGCCTTCTTCTCACCTCAGAGGGTTAAGGTGTAACTACTTAAACCAGATCTTTGTGCTTGGACCTGTAATCTTTCATCAGCTTAAGACAATCTGAAATGTGTCTAAGAGGTACTGACAACTACAATGGCTGCTCAGTTTGCAAATTCTTTTTGCACCTGTAATCAGAGAAAGGTGAGAGAAAAGCAAATAGCTCAAGTAACACTATAAACATAGCCATGTTCTGCACACAGATATAAGGAATAAGAAAATTCAAGGGCACACCAGAAGGCACCTGAATGCACTCCAGAACAGCAGCATTGCCAGGTGGTGGGTTCCTTGCAACCAGCTTAATTCAGTAAGGCAACAGGGAGGATGGAAACCTACCCTGGGCTCAGCAATGAGGAAATATACCCAAGAAAGGAGGAAGACTATAAATGAAGCTCCCTAAGCTCCACTCAGGAAGAGGCAAATGCATATACATCCCTTTGCGCTACCACCTCAGGCTGTACAGAAAGGCACTAAAATATGAAACCATATTCAAGGGAGAGCTTCACAGGTAAAATTAGCTTCACTTCAGACTAGGATACTTTAGGTCTTGAATTAAACAATTTTATGTCCTTTATATTTTCTTTCTCACTACCAGTATAAAGCAGGTGGGGATTATTAAATGCTGCACAGACATCTTCACAGAGACAGGTATATTACTCCTCAGATGGAGGAGATTAATCAATTTAGCAGAGCAATTTAGTGACTGAATCTCAAATTTTGTAATAACTTCTGTTGGAAGTTTAAGAAAAAAACACCAACAAAACCAACCAACCAATAAATAAAACCACACCAGAAGCAGCAGCTGGAATCTAAAACCCAAGAAAAGGAAAGCCAATCTACATAAGCCAGCCATGCTGGCAGAGGCCTTGGTGGCAAGTATAATCTCAGTGTTATCAGACAGGCATGCAGTTCTGTGTAGGGAGCAGTGGAAATTGGAAGTGACATTTTGGTGGAGTCAATGGGAATATGATTTCATTAGTGCCTAATAAGGCTGCAGACAGTATGTGGTACCATTTTTCTCTCAGCAATTCACGTCACTGCAGCTGTCATTTTCACTGTCTGGTCACTTAATTCATGGGTGTACCTGACACCAGCAGTGCCTCTGCTCAGTGTGTCCACAGGCAGAAGTGCTTTAAAAGAGCAGACCTCTGAGTATCATCAGAATTTCACTTGGGAGTGCGTCTAGAAATACAATTTTAAAAAAATAGAGAAAAACATGAGCAAGGTGGATTGTTATAGGTATCTCAAAAGAGAAACCCACCCAGACATCAACAACAAAAAAACAAAACAAGCATAAAATAAAACCCAGGAAAAATTATTTCAAGTGATCTGAAACTGCTTTTCTAGATTTTATATCCCACCCTCCCACTTGTAAGTTACAGGACAAAAAATGCCTTTTTCCATTGCATTGCCCTGTGTTGCCCTTTATGCCTGTGTAAACAAAACATGGGTACAACACACTTAAAGCAAATTTCCATGATCACTGTACAGTCTCTCAACACTCATATGAATCTGTGAACAAGCATTGCAAGTGCCAGACCATGAACAATCAGGATATAGAGGATTTTGCAGGAATTCCTGTTTGTTATTCAATATCTGTGTCTGGAAAAGTGCAGGGAAAAATCTGTCTCCCTATAAATAAATGCATCCACAAATTTATGATTGGAAATGTGTTAGAGTGTTACTTAGAAATATTCTCTATAATTCTGGTCATTGAAAAAATTTCTGCACAACAGATACAAAAAATGGAAATAATGATTTCTCATTCTCACATAAATTAAACTCAAACCTTTAAGGTGTCAGGACACAGGAATATATGTGGACAGCAGTATTGTTCTGCCTGTAACCAAGAAGCTCATAGATGGAAATCTCTTTCCAGTGATTTATTATTCTGTTCAAAATCAACATTCCTTCATCTTATAATTTATCTAGCAGTATAAGGTACTTTTCTAACAGCAGTGTGGTTTAAGTCAGTGCAAATCTAAGCACATGTCAGAACACAGGGGTGCCATCTCCTGTGCTGGAGTGGCCTGGATGAGTTTTTCTACCACATTCATTAACTCCTGACCCAGACCCAGGCCTTCACATGCACACAGGAGATGCACATCTATGAAGACATCATCAGCTTTTCCTACTTTTCTCCAAGTAGGCTGTGGAGACCTACGGAAAAGACTCTGCCATGACCACACTCCTGGACAAGCTGGACTTCTATGTTCTGCCTGTTGTTAACATCGATGGTTACGTTTACACTTGGACAAATGTAAGTACATTTTGCTTTCTTATTGTTGGAAAAGTCGACTGTCAGAACTGATTCCAAGTTTTCACCTGTGATTCTGTTACAGGACCGCATGTGGAGAAAGACGCGCTCTAAAAATTCTGGGACCTCTTGCATTGGGACAGATCCCAACAGGAATTTTGATGCTGGCTGGTGCAGTAAGTGTCTCCTAACGAGAACTGCAAGTAATTTCATATGAGTGCAATAGCCAATACACTTAACTATTGGATTTCCCCTACCTGATGCTCCAGCTTCAGCTTGAGTGAAGCATTGTGTTTAATGTAGCTTGTTTGATTTTTGGGAAGTTAAAGTTTTGGGAAAAAAAAAAGCCAAACTTTGGCTACTAGCATCATCAGCATAGTCACTTCTATGAACACATCTGCACACACATGTGCATGTATATACATATACACATATAAACAGACACACAGCTATGAGTTCAGAACAGAAACCAAAGGAGCTTGCTTTCATTAAAAGCAGTCTCTTTTGAGTGGTTTCCACTTTGTTCCACAGAAGTGCCTTAGAAATGGAGAAGATATGCAAGGAGAGGACTGTTAACTATTGAAGCAAATCAATATCCCAAAACATTCCCATAATATGGGTATTTACATCCATATTCATGTTCTTCCTACTGTGTACACTGTAAAGGCCATATTTATTCATTGCTATGGGATGTTTCCCAGCATCTGAACTATGCCATAAAATATTCCTTCCTCTGATATGGCATGTGTATTAGCAGGATTTCCAAGGCTTACCTACAAACGTGGTGTAACATGACTCTCCTAACAATCTACTTCTTCATTAAGTACTCATTATATTCACCTTTCTTCTCAGCTCTTGGTGCCTCAGATTACGCCTGTTCTTCCACTTACTGTGGCTCTGCACCTGAATCTGAAAAGGAGACCAAGGCTTTGGCTGATTTTATTCGTGGACATCTTTCTACAATCAAGGCATACTTGACAATTCACTCCTATTCCCAGCTGCTACTGTTTCCTTATTCATACTCTTACAAATTGCCATCAAATTACCAGGAACTGGTAAGTCTCTTTGTAATTTTGACTTTATGAAAAGAATAAGCGAAAATCATCACTTGCTATTTAGGTACCTTTAACTTCAAGCAGTTTCTTTAACATCTGGAAAGAGTCCATATTACCAGTTTTTGAAAATATTTTAGTCTTAGCAAGAACAAGGGAAACTAATATAGTTTCAAGATAGCTGAAGCATCAGATGAACTTCAGAGCCTTATTTAATTTCCATGTGCACAATGAATTTGACACAAAAGCAGTTCTGTCTCCCAGTCATGCCGTCCAGAAATCCACTCTGCTGTGCAGCACTGCCTCCAGAGGCTGCTGTGTGTGTACCTCTAATACTTTACATAAAAACACTATGGCCTGTAAACCAAGGTAGCAGCTTGACAGATTGTAATAACTATGAAATAACTCAACTGGTATCAACAGCAAGCAAGAATCTCACTCAACCACTTTCTACTGAACCTAAGCTCTCACTGACGTAAAGTCAATGAGGCAGTTCTTGACTAAAATATAATTGAAAACAGATACAAAAGACATAAAAAGTTTCAGTTTTGAGGCCTTTTCCAAGGGGCCTGGATTTACACACAAGACATTTTATTTAGAAGAGGAGAGGATGAATGTGGTATTTTAAAGGACAATTCCTCTTTTATCAATTCCAGAAAAAAGCCATTCTAATGCCATTTAAGAGAGATTTTTTTTTGATCCTTAAAACCAGATAGAGAGTTTTAAACTATTAAATGTGTATAAAAGCTGTAAACACTTCATAGGCCAAGAATCAACAATCATGAATAATAAAATTACTTCAGTTCTCTGGCATATTAGCAATTAGAATCTGTTGGCAGGGAAAACAACACAGCAAGACAAAACAAACACATTTTGATTCCCCCTCTTTCCTCGATGCTGCCAAAAGTCCAAGGCAACAACAATGCGTGTTGCTGTGCTGTGCAGGTTTGACAGATTTATGAATACTCCCAAATACATGTCTTGGTTCTGAACAGAAATACAAACTGGGGCCAAGAGTGAAGTTTCTTGTTAGATTTTTTTTAAAGCCTAAAAGAGAAGATTAAATTAAAATGAAGATTTTGTTTTCTTAATTTATATCCCAGGAATTTTGTAATTGAAATTATTTCAGGGAGTGGTAGTAATATCTTGCCTTCATATTTTACAAAAGCTTCATAATTCACACATTACTGCTCAGTCTAAAGAAATAAACAGCACTAAACACTTGAATCTGCTTTGTTGTCAAGATCACAAAGTTCTTATTTGTGAAAAATTTGCATGAAGTTCTGCCCCATTTTTTGAATGAAGAGCACATGTGATGAAATGTAACTAAAAGTACAGTGTGTTTCACACAGTATTAAACAGAGAAAGTACAACTGACAATTCATTACTAAAGCAATCTCTAGCAGAAAGAAAGAATCTATCTGCTTTGCTAGGTTTTAAAATTCTTAAACTAAAATTTTATATTGTTCTATTCTAATACACGTCTAAAAGTTCTGTCTAAATTTAGAATTTGGAGAAATGCTGAAGAATGAAAATCTGAACTTTTAATAGCTATTGTTTGGGCAAATAAAATAATCATAAATCTTTTCTTAAATGAAGAAGCAAAATTTATAGTGCCATTATCTTATCTTGGATGTTATTTTTACCCTGACAGATCTAATAAATTAAAGGAAATATAGCTGCAATTTCTTATCTCTTTTGGTGAGCAACAGGACATGTGTTTAAACAAAACCTCGCATGTCTGCTGCTCATTAATAACATTTTGTTCCATTGTATTTAATTAAAGGTAACATAATACCATGGGGCTTATGTTGCATTCCAGTGTCCGAGATACAGAAAGGTACAAAAATTGAGTAATTTGAGATTAAGGACACTAAGTCTGCAGAAGAGAAAGGTCCAGAGAATGCCTGGACCTTCCTTCCCGGAATATGTAGTGCACAGTGTGTCCTTGGGGCGCAAAAGACTTTTTCTGTTTACAGCCCCAAGAAATCAGCAGAAGGTCTAAAACTGCTTTGGTTTGTCAGATAGAACAGGGCACTCAGAGAACCTCTTCATGTTCCACTGCATTGCTCAGCAAATCAGAACAACACAAAGTTATTGTAACTGACTGAAAGCCAGGGATTAGAACTATCCGTCAACCATGCCTGGTCTTGGGGTGTAAAATGTGATGAAAGTCATGTATATCCATTCCTTGCCACAACCTCCCACTCTTCCCCTGAGATGCAAGAGGTTATAAATCCCACAGCTCTCAAGGATTTTCCCCAAATTTGTCTCCCTTTATTCCGGGTTGTTGTTTTGTGCCCCTAACCTAGGAGTTGCACAAAGTTTCCACTGTTATCCAAACAACAAAAATAAAAACACCCAAGACAGGAAAATCTAGGTCAGGAATTTCTCAGAAGTTACACAATATGCTTGTGATGACACCCTTAAAGAAATATGTCCTCCTTTTGGAGAACCACATTTTGTCTGCTTCGCAATCCTCTTGGCTCATTCTTTACCATACCCTGGCATATTGCCCTGAACACAGAATACAACTTGAATCCCTCTACTACAGGGAACAGAAGCATTAGCTTTTCACAATAACAAAATATGCTTGGCATGACCACTATCTCTCCACACCCCAAAAAACTACTTTCATCTTTATTTTACTATTCACATTTTGTCTTCTTGCAATAAAGAACTATGCATTTAATCAGACTTTTCATAAACAGTTCAGCCCATATTTTTGCCTTAGCCTCCCATTAGGCTTTCCTCATTTTCAGCAGACAAATCTAGCTTTATCAGTTCTTGTTTGTATTTGAATTGGCTCTGAACTGTAGTTTGAGAGAGAAGAGGAATGTGTATTGTGCCCTTCCTTCCTTTCCAGCTCAATCCCATCTCTGTTAAACTCAGCACCAAATACATGTGTGCAGTCAGCTCATATTCAGATTAATGTAGATGTGTTATTACACTTTCACATTAATATTACATTAATTTACAAACCAAGATAATTCCAGTCTGTATTACTTGAATGCACACTGGCTGCATGGGTTGTTTTTTCAACTCACCAAAATCAACCTTCCATATTGAGCTGGTCTAGCATTTCACTTCCTCTTGAGTACTTCAAATAGGACATATTAGAAAATATTAAAGAGATATGCCCACAGTCTGTGCAGCCTGCAAGAGTGAATATATAGCATGACTGTGAGTATCAGTCTGATTATTTAACTTAGTACCTAGTTGTGAGGTCCTGAACATGATTTAGACATATGAAGACCTGTGGGTAAGAACTGTTGGATAGCAAAAATCCTACATCTAAGAGACTCAGACAAGCCCATGAGGAGCTGCAATCTGCTGCTGATGTATCTGTGTTATTGCACAGATTGTATTACTATGATTGTACTACTTGTTACATTAAATATTGTTAAAGTCAACTGGGAAGCACAACAAACAGGAATGTGGGCAGCAAAGCAGTATTTGAAGTTTGCCTCACAGCTCTTCCACAAGAGTTTACCACAACAGAACTGTTCTGTACTGGCAGTCTTAAAATTGTGAAAAGGATGTGTTTAGTAGCAGCATCTTCCAGATGAAGCTGATGTGTGAATCTGGCTGATAGACAAGAGCCTCCAACAGGTGTAGGGCCCAAATGATTTGCAGTGGAAACCCTCTCACCAGGGACTAATTTCTTAAACACTGTAGAAACTGTCACAGAAAAATAGGCTTGTAAAGAAAAAAAATCATTCCACTGAAGTCCTCACTGGCTGGATTCCCTTGGCTTTTGGAGCATATGAGACACAACAGAACAGTGAACTAAATGACACATCATCATGGACCCTTGAGAGGGGAGTCTGTTTTTACTGGCAAAACAAGAAGGCTCAGAAGTTTCAATTCACTTGGCTAAAGCTAACAGCAAATCCACATTTTCAGCCTTTCATTACAAAGGAAGTTGAGGGTCCCTTTAGTTAAAAAGTAAAGCATGAAAGATCTATGTGAAGGGAAAATACCTTGGGCAGATCAGCCTTGGGCAAACCAGTTGGCAGTCCAATCAAGCAGTGAAAAGGCTTCTCCAGACCACTTTCAGATTGAGAAGGCAAAGGGAGTTGTCCACAAACAGCAGCTGCATATCAACATCTGTGGAGTGTTTCTAAATGGTCACAGTTTGCTGGCAAATCCTCCCTGATGATACAAGAGTAAAATGAAGGAGATGAGATGCTCCCATAAAAATTACCTATTAACATAAAAAATATGCTTAGCATGATAATTTATCTTGTCAGTTCAAACTTCCAATGTGGTGAGAAAAAGACACCAGTACCACATCTTTCATTAAAAGCTAATAACTGAAAAAACCCAGGTTTGAAAGTTGTTAATTATGTCAGATAATGACAACTGAGAACACAGCTCTGCTGTCTCCCTGGCTCACGCACTCTGTACACAGATAAGCGAAATATTGGTAATTGCAGTGTAAACACAGATGGGTGATGAGCACAGGAACTGCTGCCTTCTGCTGAAATGACCAGCTCTGAGAGCTCAGCTGGGAGTCAAAAGCTGAAAAGCCATTTCTGCTCCCAGTTACAAGGTATTACCCTGGAGTTATTTCTTCGACTGCAGGGCGCCACTTGTTTCTCTGTTACTATAAATCTCAGCAACATTTTCCTTGCAAAAGAGGGATTCTTAATGGTATAAAACCCCAAACAAACAAACTCCAAACAAACCACAACAATTTAGTTAAGCCCATTACATCAAGAGATGTAGAAAATTACTGAAAAACAAAGAGTATCCTCAAAGGTCAAAAGGAAAACAAAATTTCTCCTTGCTGGTGTAATCCAAATAATTTACAGGCTTGAAAATCCAAACTACTTTTCACCCTTTTGGAAAACTTTGGGTACTATTTATACACCTCTGCATTGACCTCCCTATTATTTCCTTCTTATGGATTGCTTTGAGTAATTGAGCTATTTTGAAAAAACAACCAAACACATTTTCCTCATATTTTGTATTTATACTCACAAGTATTTACTTAATACATATTATTCCTGCTGATTTATATTATATTATTAACAAATGACATTAGGTCCCATAAAGTTGAAATTTATTTTTCTGCCTTTAGGTTTTGAACTGCAAATCTATTAAGAAAGTAAATGTTAGAGAGTCACTTAAAGGAAAACAAAAAAATATCAAAAATTCTGATATGCATGATGAAGTCATAAATGCTTAGGCACATTTTTCACTAAGACAGGGTCATTTAAAATACCACCTTTATCTCCAACCTGGAGAGCTTGAGGAAGCTGTTTATTTGGATTCTAAGCTCTAAACAGCTGGAAATCTCAACTGCTCTTTCTACAAATTTCTGGTTTTTACAACTTCCAGGCCAACAATAAAAAAATCCCTCAGGTAAAAGGATTTCCTGACATACTTTTTCCGGTATGTGTTCTGGTATGATTTAAAGCCATCATTTGTCTGCTGGGTGGAACAAATGCCCTGGGTCAAACAGCCCCACAGAGCAGCTCTGCTGCTCTATTGTTCCTACTTCAGTTAACTAAAGAGAGCAAATACCAGTTACCAACAGGTCTGCATATTGAACCAGACAACCCTTCCAAATTTTACTTTCACTTTGCATATATTTGAAGAGAGGAAGAATCAGTTTACATTTAAAAATTCATTTGCTATTGAGAGATTTGACTCAGTCTCAGCTGCTGATTAAATGTGTACATTATAAACAACAGATGGCTGAAGAAAACATGGCATCGCTAGCAGATAGCAGACTCCAACCTCTACAATTCCCTCAGCATGTGTTAAAAATTACTATGGATTTTAGAAAAATCAATTTATTGAGGGATTAAAAAAGAGAGGAAAAAACCCAAACCAAACAAACAAGATCGCAGGACAGAGCTCAGCTACTCCAATTGCCCTGGATCCAAGATTGTGAAATGCAGAGCAACAACATACTTCCTTGCAATTGCTTGTCTTTGTGTGATAGAGAGGCCAGAAAACAAACCCCACGTTCAGGCAGTCAGAGTTATAGGTGGAAAGACAAGCTTCAAGTATGCTTTGGTTTGTTTTGTTCAAATATCCTTCGTATGCTAAAGGACCACAGATTTCTAGAGCAAACTCCCATTATTCTAAAATGCTCAAAACCCAATATTTGGGAAAGGGGAAACACTTGCAATTCTGCTAGAGAGTAGGCTGCCAGTGAAAATGTAAACATGTTGTCATGTTTTTCAGCAGCTGAGAAAGTTCTCTCAGTTAACTAAAATTTTCTAAATACTTGGTCCAATATGTCTTTTTGAGTAAATCAGAAGAACACTTAAGCATAAGGATGAACAGATAATATTTTACAATATATCTTCCACTGGGATGTAAGCCAGAGTGTAACCTACAGAGAAGGAAAGGCCTTGAGGAAATTCCTGGAATAGTAAGCCATTCAGCTGCAAGCTATAAAGAAATATATGGCAACCCATTGCTTATACTGAACATATGCTTTCAAAATCATTCATATTTATCATCTGTTAGTAATAGTTTTCATGTTTTATTACCAACATGTTGTATAATGAAGTATTGGAAAAGCCACACGTTCCAAAAAAAAGTCTGTAATTGTCCTTAATGCAAACATACAAAACTTCATAGTACTATTGATGGGCCTGATCCAACCCTCACTGAATCAGTTGGAGTTGAATGAGTCCCTCTGTGCACAGGAAATGAATTGAAATTAATGAGACTACATATGGTTTCAGGGTAATTTATGCCTTTTTTGGCTGTTAATATTTATAAGACCTTAATCTGCTTCCACTTGTATCAATGTTCAACTCCCCTGACTGAGCCAACTCTACTCTGAATGTATAGCTGCATGAAGAGAAGGAAAAGAAAGGGTATTGTATGTTTGCAATTTACTGTACCATGTCATTACTTTTCTCTAAGATTCTCTTATCTCTAAGTAAGGTTGCTTGTTTTAGTTTTAACCTTGTACAAGTTTCTTCCTAATCTAGAAAGTGCTGTTACCTCTTGTCCCCTCACCTGTCCAAACCCCCCTGGACTGTACACCAGGCTGCAACAGACCATACATAGACTGGATCACACTCCATTAAACCTTTGAGAATAAGTTCTTTGCTGACAAACTCTTTTCAAAGCACCAGGACAAGCTGGGCCTTAGCACCTGACACCTAGTCACACTGAGAGGTCAACAACAGTTTTCTAATAAAAGCTTCTCCAGCATGGCTTTTGAGTTTATGCAACAGTGTAATTGCTTAGATTCACTCAGAAAACTTCTGAAAATCTGCATTTATCATTCTCCTTTTCTTACAGAATTCCATAGCTAAAGCTGCTTCCGAAGAGCTGGCCAGTTTGTACAACACTGACTATACATATGGTCCAGGAGCAACAACAATCTGTAAGTATTGACCTAAATATACTGACAATCTATATTAAGTACTGCTAGGACTATAAAATGCAGTTTTCTAGTGATTCTTGTTCCTCTTTCTAAGTAGTCCTCTTCTTCCTTCACATGCTTATATGAAGAGGTATATATGGGATCTGTCATTTCTAAATTATGGGATCATTTATTCCCCAGGGATCCCAGGAAGCATGTGACTGCCTAGAAAGTCAAGTGATGTAGTAAAATGTTTATGAATTTACATGCATAGCATGAATTCCTAAATCATATACATCTTAGATTTAAACATAAAAACCTTGACCTGAGATTTTCTGCATTTCCAGTATCTCCAAGTCAAGGATGATGTGAATCCTTCAACCACTCTAGTGACACCAATTTCTTTTACTTTGCATTACATTCTGAGACACATACTAATTACAACCCTATTTGCAATTTGTAAAGACTAATTATTCTACCCTTCTTGGGAACTCAGCTGTGGATATGGCCTCTGCAGTGCCAAAAGCCAAGCTGAGGTTATCTCAATATCTCCCATATTTAAGATCTCTTAATTACTTAAATATGGAAGCTAATTTCTCATGCCTGTTTCTCCTTCCTCAAATAATTAACCACCCCCTCCCAAACATTTTAAAAAACAGTTACTTCCAATTTTTACAATATTTTTGGAGACTCTTCCTTTAGAAATGGCAATTTTGGAGGCTCCTTCCTTAGCAAGAGAGACTTTTTATCGTACCAGCTACTGAAAAGGGAGGGTACTATTTGTCCAGCAGAAAATGATGGAGCTGAAATCCCAGATATAAAATTCTTTCTCATCTCTGTGAACCTCAAAAAGCCACTCAGTAAGAGGGCATTTGCTTCTTATACCAAGTGTTTCTAAAGACTCCATGCAAACATGCCATTCTCCTGTTCCTTAGACATTTCTCCCATGGTTTCCCCACAAGAATAACAAGGAAGGAGCAGTTTAGCTTGTTTACATTTGCTTGCACAAATCAGCTGGAACAAAGCTCATAAAAGGCATAAAATCACAGCAACTTTCCCATGAGCAGGATAAATCAATCAATTTATCAAATATCTCTTTTTATCTGTCCTTTCTGCATTCCAGGCTATGTGACTTGACTCCAAGTATTTCCCATTTGATGTGTAGCCACTCTTTCCAGGTTAAGCTTTGTTTAACTTCTTTACCCACAGACCCTGCTGCAGGGGGCTCTGATGACTGGGCTTATGACCAAGGCATCAAGTACTCTTTCACTTTCGAGCTCCGGGACACCGGGAGATACGGTTTCCTTCTCCCTGAATCCCAGATAAAGCCAACCTGTGAAGAGACTCTCCTTGCTGTTAAATATATTGCCAACTATGTCCTTGAGCACTTGTATTAGAATGGAATTCTAAAGATTATTAAAGTAGGCTTTATGCAAAGATGCCTTCCTTTTTTTCTTCCCTAAAAATGACTTTTTTATTTCTCTATACTTAATGGTCTAAAGTCATATTCTTAGTCCACTACAGGTCACTAGAACTACAAGTTTTTCAAGACAAATTTTAGAAATTTGAGAGAAATAAAATATTTTTATTGAGGCAACTGGCATTGCCTCAATAAAAGGAGCACAAGAAGGAGCACAAGATTAATCAACCTAAGGTAAAGGTCACCTTATTGATTAAACTTATCTTTACACAGAGGAGATGGGCTGAGCATTAGAGCTTATACAGCCTAACTGTTAATCAGAATAAAAAAAACCAAGTGATTTACATATATGGACTTTCACCCAAACATTCATTGCCTCAATGGCAACAGTAGCAAGGGGAAGTTCACATTACATACTTTTAAAATTATTTGTGATGTGCTCTTGTGAATTTTCTCAAAACCCACCTTGGATCTGGTCCCATCGCTGAAAAATAATTTGGATGTGCAGCCACTGCTAGTCCAATCTGGATTCAGTTATGAAAATTATAATTACTACTAATGACCAAACCTTGATACAAATCATGCTACCCTGCATTTAAGGCTCTCATTCTCACTACAGTAGCATCTCCCAAAGTGTTCTCAGAGGCCTGGTACTTCCTGGGGCCCCTCATGTTCCTACTGCCATGGGCAGAAGAATCATAAACAGCCCTAAAGACTAAGTCTGGTGATAAATGAGTAACTGTTTCTTTCATGGAAAGCTGTAGAGAATTATCCCCTCCCGATCAATTTTCTGTACAGGTAATGTAGGTCTGATTGGGTCAGAGTGAGTGAAAGTGATAAATTGCCACTCAACATCTTTCCCACAGAGCTGCAGAAAATGTGCTTGGCATCTATTAATACTGTTTGGAGCTTGGCTAATATGGGACACACTCTGCACAATCATAGGGAAAAACCTTATGTCAACACAGAATCTGGCTGATCTCCCTGCCACTGCTAGAAGCTCTGAACAGAGACTTCCACTGCCCACTGATGGTCCTGGAATAACCCCATTTCTGGTAGGTCCTTAGCCAATCCACTCAACACAGCCCAGAAATGCATTTTACAGAAAATGCTTCTCCAAAGAAAATCATCAAATTCAAGACCTGTCAAAAACTACATGTTCTGCCTTTTTGTCCCTTTTCAGTGGAAGGAAACAGAAAGACAGGGTCCAATTTAAAATTATACTTTCATTTCCATGTATAAGAGAAAGAAAGGCCACACATTCACTAGCCCACTCCAATTAGCCCAGCAGCACTCAGATTAAACAATTCCTCACACATGACTGATCCATCTGGTTCTGATCTCTGGTGAAACTGAAGCCACGTGTGAAAGTAACACGTACCAATAAAAAGACGTATCATTCTGTTTTGCAGAAGAACTGGGGGGAAGAAATATCAACGTTACTAAAAATAGCACAGGATGTGAACAGAACATACTGGCCAGAACCAAATATGCCACAAAGGGCAGGAAAATAAATTTCTCGGAATATGAAATATTTTGCTAATTTTAACTAAGTGTTAACAACCGTCCAGGGACTATTCTGACTGTAACTATGTTATTTGAGATGATGTCACAGGTTTTACACGAAATGCAATGTGAACTCTTGATACTCAGCACTTAGTAGTACTATGGTGCAGCTGACAAGTTCCATCAGCTTGATGAACTTGGAGATCTTTTGCAACCTTAATGCTTCTATGATTCCATTCTGTGATTCTGTGATCCAGTACCAGGCAGGCACTGTGTAAGACTGCAGGCAGCAAATTCACAGCTTCAAATGCAGTTGAGAGCCAAGTCACAGCACCCAGCAGTTCCAACATTAAAGTTACCCCAGTTAACTTAAATGTGTGACTCTGAGGCAGAATACAGCACACATTTGGTGGCTCTGACATTCACAAATCAAGTCACAGCAAGGCAGTGATCTGCAGCTTTTCTGTGCCTTCTCCCCAGAAGTTCATATTTTGGCCTTAGCTTCCCATTAGGTCACCTTATGCTTTGCTCATTTTCAGCAGACATATCTGGCTTTCTCAATTAAATTCTCACCAGAAGGCACTCACTAGCACTGCTGATCAAATTACACAGATGCAGAGAAGAGCAATCAAATGTGGTATTATCATCCATGCAGCTTGGAACATAAGCCAAAGAATATATGGGAGAATTTTAAGCAGGAAAGGACATTGTGCTAGCAGGTAAGCTTCTAGTGAAGAGACACTGAAAGAAAACATGGAGAGGATGCAAAAGTTCATCAAGAAGTCACATTGCTTCAAACTCTAGCATCACTTTCAAAAAACATGGAAATTTCACATGCAAAACTGATTGGTAACCCATTCTCAAATTACAGCACACGAAACTCCATGTGTACACAAGAAAATGCCTTCTTATCACACATGCCCAAAAACCAGGACACATTGCCCAGAAATGTTGTTGAGTCTCCCTCCATGGAGATGCTGTTCAAAACTTGGCTGGACAAGGCCCTGGGCAACCTGCTTTGTGCAATCCTGTTAATGTCTGCCTGATACAGGTCAACCAAGGACTGAGATAAATAATTTCAGCTTTTCCTCTTTGATTTATACTGCTCCTTTAATCAAATAGAAAGGGAACATTCTGTTTTCTTGATTAAGAATCACTTCAAAAATTACCATCTTTCTCATATGAAGCTATTGTTTAGTCAAATGCATTCAAACAGCCAATTCATTTCAATATTCCCAAACTCAAAAGACCTGATGAAGTGCTTTAAAGACAATGTACTGTCCCTCTGCCAGGTCTGCCAGGAGTGACATTGGAGATACCAGACAACTCAGAGAGGAAATGTCCCTCAGTACACATCACAGCTGCAAAGGCCCTTAACAAAGGCAACACTTAGAAATTCTTGATTCTTTAACACATAAAAAGGTAGCTCACACACAAAAATGAATGAAATGCAGTTAAGTCCCAACAGCTGTGTGAGAGTTAAACATGAGCTTCTGGGGAAGGTATTTCCAAGTTGGCTCAAAGCTGTCAAACAACCGCTGACACATAATAGTAATTCAGAGAAGGCAACTTTTGCTCTTAATGATCCAGACACAACTGCCTCAAAATTGTGCTAGAAATCAAACCTGTGCTTACAGTGCAGCCTGCTCTGAACTCTGCTTTGCTGACATATGGCCTCAGTGTGCTTCCTGTCACTTTGAATTCTTCCAAGGACAGATGTGGGCTGTGCACTGAAGCAGGTTGTCTCTGTGTTCCCTGCTGCACTCAGAACAGCTGCATTACAGCTGCATGCAGCATTTACTGCAGGAGGAGAGGAAACAGCCAAATGCTCTCGATAATGGGACTGGGTCCCTGTCTTTTACAGGAAGGATGCCAGGCTACTTGTGGTAAACTTTGCAACCACAGAAAATAGAAAATTTGCTATCAGTAAGTGAACATATACAGCTTAGCCAAGAAACAGAGAAATAGGGAATTCAACAGTTGGCAAGCACTAAAATCTTCTCCTTCTGCATTTAGCAGAAGACCTAAGATGCTTAACTGGAATTTTTCAAGGAAAGTATGAATCACACTGCTTTAATAAAAAAAAATCAACTTGCAATTTCCTGGATTCATGGGGAAAAATAAAATTCAGGTTTCTTTTTAACACATTTGATATGTTAGGACATAATGGCAAAAAAAAAAAAAAAAAGATAACAGTTCAGGAATAACAGCTGTCATTCCCACAGATCCCTGTGTTGTAGCTGCTAACTTGAGAGAGCGAAGCCACTGAGTACAGCTCCATACCACAGTGACCCACCAGCTCATGTCCAGAAGTGACACAGCTCAGAGCATCTCTGTTCCTACCAGAGTCAGCCCAGAACCTAATCAGCCTTCCACACAAATCAAGAGATGCTAGTGAATGCTATAAATGGCAAACAGAACCCAAAAGATAGATGTGTTGTTACACAGCACAGCAATGATGTCATTGCAGACCTGTATGTTGCATGAGCACTCATCAATATGGGGCCTTTTTCCCCATTGCAAAGGTGCAACATACTCAGATTATGGAACTGCAAATACAGCAGTAAATGCAAAAAGTTTTTCACTTCCAGGTTTATGTCCCTGATCATTGGATGTGTTTTCTTTATAAAGAAAATAACCTCACATATGTGAAGTCTCAGAAGTTCAAGTTCTCAGCACACTTAGAGAAAATATTCTAATGTCACTCACATCTAGAAACCAAGATCCTTTTCTCTTAATAAGCTGTCCCCACATATGACAGCAAAAACTCTGTCTCCTGTTCTCTTCCCTGGCCTATACACAGTAATGCCATGAAAGTCTCTGAATTAATTCTTCACACTCCCTAAAAAAAAAAAAAAAATCAAAGAAAAAGTGGGTCCTTGTGCTATATTTTCAAGCCCACTGAAAATAGCTATTTCATTCAAAAACTAAGCTGTGAATATTCTAAAAAACACTGGAATTTCACAGAGGGTGTTTTATGTAATTTTACACATAGCTTTTATTAATTCTTCAATGATTTTTTAAATGTGCCCAGAAACTGAATTAATAAAGGGTTCAAATGGAACATTCATTTTGTACAGACTTTCAGGAAACTATTCTGACATTTTTCTCAACAAATGGAAATACTGTTCATGACCTGAGGGCTTTCTTTAAGGATCATAAATAGAACATTTCCTATTTGAATGGATCTAGAATTCCTAATAACATAACGACATTTTATACTTTCCCTCTTTCAATACCCATCTTTGAATCATTTCTGAAAAGCAATAATGTAATCCTTACAAGTGCAGAACACCTTTCCTCCATTTAAAAGGAAGGATGAATAGAAATTTATGCTTTACCTCTAGCTTTTGTCACCACTATTTCTTTGCAGTTTCAGTCTCTCACATCTCTACTGTAAGTTGTACTGTCACTGATAGAAGTTCTGGCAACAACATGTTCAGCAATAAAAAACTGTTTAAAAATAATGAATTATTTTAAAATTTTAACAAAAAATGCATTTTTATTATATGCTTTCTAAACTAGAAAATCAATTACATCTTAGAATTTAAAAAAAAAATAAAACTTGCTTTTTAAAAAGCTTTATTACACTATACTTACACTTGACTTTGTTCAGGTATTATGTATTTGGAAATCACAAAGCTCATTTCCTAGGATTGCAATGATATGCAGTTAAGAGAGGAGAACTTCCTTGGTAATTGCATAGCCCAGTATAAACTCCTGGCTAATACTGAAAAAGCAATTATTGAGAGGCAATTCTGCATTTTATGTGCACTAACATATCCCCTTAAAATCTATTAAAATGTAAAATATTAAAAACCTGAAATACAGACTCCAGTACTCTCACATGAAGTTCAATACAGACTAAACTTCATGTGGACCTATCTGTAAAGCTCCAGTGCAAACCAGCTCTCTGCAGGGCTGCCCAAAAACTCCACTGTCAGGGCCCATCACAGCCCTGAGCACCTGAAAGCTTTGGTACTGGCAGCCCTCAGCTTTGCAAAGGTTTTTTCATCTCTCAGGACAACTCTGAATCTGGGGATCATTAATTACCCTCAATTTGTCTGAAGCCCTGGCTCATTCTCTCATTCTCAGTTCCACAGTGTCACCAAGGAGGGAGTTGTGCCACTGCTTAGGGAGAGCTCCAGCCTGCCCAGACTTGGCCCAGGCAGGAGGAGAATTCACAGAGCAGAGGAGCAGCACCACTCCTCCACACACATCAAAGTGATTTGTTTTCTAACAGGGAATGACTCACTCTCATGCCTGTTAAAGTTCAATTAAACATCTTTAGGAGAAAATTTATGATTAAACACAGAATCAACAATGTTGATGGATACCACATATTTATCCAAGCTTCTGAACCTCTTTTAATATTTAATTTTGCTTTAATGACCGTTATGTGTCTAGAACCTGAATTACTGACAAATTAGCTGGGATCTTCCCTCACTTTTCATATCTTTCCTGCTTTCTGCACTCTTCTGAAACAATGTCTTTCCTGTGAAACTCTGTAAACCAAGTAGTATTTGCTGGCCATCATGGCCTTGTATTTTGAGAAAAATTCTGTCTTGCACATGATTATGGACAATTATCCTGAGGAAGTTTTGAAATCCCTGTCAAAATGCTCCCACTAGTTTTTGTGACACTGTTTTGCTCAGCTTCCCTAACTCACTTTGAGGTGCAACTCAGGATTCATTGCTGCTTCCAAAGGCATTTCAAGAATTTTCCTGGCATGCCACCATGTTTCATGTTTAGTTTATGGAGAAATAAGTACATTAAGTTCATTAAAACACATTGAGTACTTTACCACTGTGCACACAGATCTCAATGAACTCCTCAGGAGATAAGACTAAGTTCCTGATAAGACTGCACCCTATAAAACAATTGAACAAAACATCCATCATGACTTGCAGAGTGAGTGGGAGAGATCTGAGTCACTTTAAAAAAAATCTCTGCTGAATTTCCCACTGGCAAGCTCAGACACCAGCACACATCTACCTGCTCCTGGCATCTGTGCAGGACGGACTTTGTAAGATTGCTACTTGAAGGCTTTTTCACATTAATATGTAGATTCCAAACAGCAAATTCAGCTGGGAATTTAAAGTAGAAGCAAAAGTGTAGATTTAATGGGAAGAAGCTCCTTCCAGTTCATGGAAACATACTCCTCCTCTTACAGGAGTAAATTCAGAGAGGGGGAAGAAACCCTACAAACCCCAAACCACAAGCCAGTCTCTTGCCAGCCTGCACAATCTCTCAGTTCTACAGTGCTTGGTGTTGTGAGGCATCCTACACATCAACAACCTTAAGGCTCTCCTAACTCTACTGCTTCAGGTCAGGTAGAAGACCATTTCATCAGTCACCAGACACTTTTGTTTCAAGCAGAATTCTAAGATGCAGGAGGTTCTTTAAGAAATGCAGACACTGCCTTAGCTGCACAGTGAAATGAGACATTTTCAGAACACATCATTCCTTCCACAAGAGCTCCTCAGCTAACTGAGAATCCCAGCAGCCCCCACCCACCCTGCAGCCAGACACGGCTTCTCACGACACCTTGTGGCGGCAGCACCAGCTGACAGGGCTTTGGTCTTCAAAAAAGTTACTTAAGATGTGAAGAAATGGTATTGCAGAAAATCAAACACAAATCAAAAAGCACCAGCTTATAATCACTTAATCTGAAGAATAGCAACAATTTTCAAAACAGGAATATTGCCCATAAAGACACAAAGCATAAAATAATAGAAGCATTATTTTAAAGTCAGAAAACTGAAAACAATCTAATGCAATTTGAAGTGCATGTGAGCAATAGATGTACAACTATAATAACAATGCAAGTATGAATTATTAACATGGAACATATTACATGTGTAAACATATCATTACATATTATAACATAACTATTTCTTACCTCTTTTTAATTGGAAAATTAGAATTTTCTTCGCACTTCCAGGAAATGCTTCAGGAAGAGACGGTTGAGAAGGGAAAAGCTTCATTGTCCAGAAACACAAAGACAAACTGACTCAATTAGGCTAATTTATTCTGATATTTATGTTGCATGCAACTGGATAAACGGTAAAATCGTGAATCTTACTTCCCATTTGTTTTCAAATTGTTTTGAGAAAATGCCTTTTATATCTGAAAAAACAAAAATTGTGGTTCAATACTGTTCTACTGCAAACACATCAGTCCCAGAAGAATTAACAGATGGCCCACCTTGAAAAGGAAATCAGAGATAGCTCTAATTAAATAAATTAAATCCAACAAAATGATTTAATATATATTCTTATTTTCCCAAACATCCTCATCAAGGCACACAAGAAGGATGTTTTCTCAGTCATTAACTGTGTAAACACACTGGTTTTTGATGGAACGTATTTCACTTTCTCTCTATGCAACTTGGTGCCTGAAATCTCTACTCAGCCCCTCACACAGCTTCTGGAACAGTGGCAGTTTTTCCTGTCAGGGCAGAAACAACTGGCTTTGCCTCGACTTGGTTGGAGGTTAACAGAATAAAATACAAACAGATTTTATGTAGTCAGAGATGAGCACTGAAGGACAAAAAGAAAGCTTCTGGGAGGAATATTCAAGCAGAACTGTGACTCTTACTGAACAGTCATTAAAGGGTTTTCAAAAGCATTGGCTGTAGCATGATCAAAGCAATAAAACCCTACACCAGGAATAACTCATATTTGTTCTTCAGATGTGAAAAATAATAATCTGTATTTTGCTCTTGTCATCTACACCGAGATCACTGCACCTACTTGTGTGTCTTCATTCCTCTCACCTGTTACTGTGTTAGGAAGCACATTAGAGTTATAAAAGGCAGCCCTGCCAGCAGCAGGACTGAGGTCACCAAGCACCTCATCCACCACAGGACCACACACAGCATCAGCACCCTATGAATCAGACAAAAAATTCCTAACATTAAAAAAAGGGCATTTTCCCAAAGGGATACTCAGAAGCAACACACAGTTTAAGTCTGCAAAGTTCCTGAAGGATTACTGTGCCTCCAGAGAAACAAACCAGACATTTTAAGCCCTGCCTAACCTCTTGTCAAGCTACAGACATTTACTTTGTTTGCAATACAGAACTTTAATTTATAACCTGCTAGAGACCAAAAACCAGAATTTTGGCCCAAGATTTGCTGGCACAGTTAACACAAACTACAATTTATGTGAAGTTGTGAAGTGTGGATTGGCCAGCTGAAGCATGGATGGAGTCAAACTCCCCTCCAGTATCATGGGTGTGCTTTGGCAAGACCCAAAGAGGCTGCTGGGAGCAGGGAGAGAAGGTACCACAGACACTGCAAACGGCAATATCCAGTGGAAAAGGTAACCAAGTGTTGGTAAACAGAGAAACAGCCATGGAATACAAACCTGCAAATCCTGACCTCCATTTGCCTTCACTCTGAGAAATGCTCTACAGACTTCTCTTGGATGAAAATCAGGTTTTTGGTAATTTCTCCAACCAACTGAGGCAAAGTCTCCACAGCACAACCGCAGCCCCCGCCGGTGGCAGTGTCACCACGAGGGGCCATGGACACCTCACCTGCACTGCCTCTGGGGGCTCCACGCTGAACTTCATCCTCCAGCTGCAGGAAACACTCACTACATCTCACCTCACCTGCTACTCCGAGCTGCAAAAAAGAGTTAGGCTTCTTTTTTTTTTTTTTTTTTTTTTTTTTAAGAACCCAAATAGACACTCAAGTGGCCTTTTGGTGAAAACTAGAATAACCCTGGAGAATGCTATCACCTCAGTGAAGTAAAGAACATGTTTGTCTCAGAAATCAGTTGGGAAGCAGAGTGGCAGGAAGGTCATCCTTGTAAATTGTGGAACCCTGACACAAGAACTGATCTCTCCTGCTTTCAGAAAGGAGTTTCTCAAGATCAGCAAACTTTCTTCTCATGTAAGCATCTTCTACTGGCAGGGGTGAAATATACTTTGTATCTTTGTGCAGTTACACAGTCTTAAATACAAATACTATTATTTCATGGATTCAAAACCACAATGTTTTGAAGCCCAGGATCCTTCTCTCCACCATCTCCACCATTTTTTTGATACACCTCCTACAGTGGCAAGGCCCTAGACTTACCTGAAAGTGCCAAATACACTCAGTTAAGAAAGAGTGCAAAGAAAAATGCACACCCTAATTTGTCTTCATTTATATGCTCTGGCATAAGGTACAAGCTGTGCTTTAGAAACTCAAACACATAAGAGTTTATGAGCAGGTCAGTCCTTGTGGCCTGCATTCCTTTGACTAAGATTCTCTTTCCTCTACAGATGAAACATGTACAAACCATGCCAATTTTATCCATCTTCATCAGTTCTTTTTCTTTTACAAGAAGCCTAATCTGACAAGATGTGGAATATGAGGTGCTGGATATTAGCCTAAATAGTTCCAGTATTTTTTTTTTAATTCTCTGTATAGAAAAGACTGTTAACACCAACCTGAGCAGGAACTTGTCTGTGGCACAGGGCAATGTAGTAACACATAGACCACCTTGGAATGAGCCTGCCCTAGACACTGCTATCGGGATTATTGTGTCAATCATTGAAAACAAATGTCTCTAACGCTTTTACACTCCACTGATTTTACCCTGTAATTCCCAGACTCAAATGTTATAAATATAATCTTATTTGCAGCCCATTGCTGCCTACAAGAGGTATGTAAATCACCCCATGAGTCTGCATGAGTGTGAGGGAGAGACTGAAGCTGTCACTGCTCTAACAGCCTCCCTTCCATCAAGGCATATCTAAGTTTCCACTCATATTCTTAGCTGCTGGGTTTTTAATGGATACAATTCCATAAAAGTAGCTAATTGTGATGAACAAGTACTTAGAAATGCTAACACAGAGCTCAAACTTCCATGAAAGTGTTTGTAATTGTGATGAAGTAGCTTGTCCAAGAAGCATGGGAGATTCTGTCCTTCCAAGACAACCTAATCACAATGCACCAGCGTGCCAGAAAGCTGAACAAGTCCCCAGAGAACTTTCCAAGACTTGATTCGGTTCCTTTCATTAAGCACTATGTTCAGCAGACCGGATGCAATTTCAATTAGAGAAGGTAACAGTCAAACCATGTTCAATTTCCTCTATACTGAGCTTTGGAGACTCTAGGAGTTCACATTACATACCACGTGGTTTTAAATCCCATTGTGATTGGTATCTCTCAAAACAGAAAATCTTACTTCAAAATTAAAAAATACTCTTTTCACACCCATTGCACATAAACAGCAAAGAACAGTGATTGTTGTGACAGACAATGTTATTACCATCTCCATCCCATTTGAGAATGACTCTTTGAGAAGTACTGGCAGTACTTACAATAAAAAACAATTTTAGACCTCATCTTTATAAGGAAGATCACCTTGAAAATTACTTCTTACACAGCAAAGACTTTCACATTTACTTCACTATCAAGAAACAATTTCTGTCCTGTAATACAAAGAAATTCAAACCAGAATGAAGAGCATTAACCAAACACCTTTCAGAATCCAGGTAAGAACAGAACAAGCCTAAAAATCCAGCCAAAAGGAAAGAATATTCATTCTTTCCATCTTAAAAGAGACCAAAACAAAGGACCAAGAGTCTGAACACAGCTACTTTAGTTCACTGATTCTGTTTAAAAAAAAAAAAAGTAACAAACTGTTTTAATGTTGCAGCTTTATTTAAAGAAAGTGACTTTAGAATTTTTGGTAACATATTTTTTAATACAAAATTGATACAATGAAAAATAAACTTCAGCAATGTTCTAGAGGAGATCACAGGCTGTAAACTCATAGTCAAATGTACTATATTGGAAAAGGTAATTTTGTTCAAAGCTTATTCGCAGACCAGCACCAAGTGATCCCAAAAGTTTTACTCAACATGCCAAGAAACCCTCAAACTCACACTTCCTAAGTAAGGACTTGCTCAATCTCACTTGTCTTCCAATTTACAGTAAGGGTTGTGATTAACTGTATGTAAGAAACACATCAAAATTCCCTACAATACCTCCAGTAAGTAAAGTTCAACATTTGCATACCTTTGAAAGTTTATAAGGAGTCATGGACAACAAGGTATTTGCACAAAACTTTAGTAATTGCCATTTACATGGAACTCAGAAGTCCATTAAGAAATTTCAAAGCCCTGTAACAGTTCTTTTTAAACTATTTCATTTCAGCAGGTCAATTTCCTTGATCTTGGGATCACATTTTTTAAACCTACATCTGCAGTACATCAAAATTCCAACATATGAACAAGAAGTATGAATAGGAGTCAGCAGTAAAAGAGAAAAACCAAACATAACATGCTACACAATCCTGAAATCCTTTTACCATTCTTAGCACATGCTCAGTAGAAAGCAAAACTCCTCCCAAAACTCTTTTATTTCTATTTTTAAGTTGTCTGAAATCAAGTTTCTCAAACAGAAAACCTGTATTGGGAAGAAACTTTCTCATTATAAACCCAGTTCCTCAAACATCCTATTTTGGGGGTAACTTGGCTTCATGCAACCCTTACAGGCACAGGGAAGATACTGCCCTCAAATATTAAAGCTGTGGAGATCTAATACTCAAACTGTGAAACAATAGTACTGCAATTCTTGCATTTGCTCTTCTCTGTCATGCAATCACAACTGTGATTTGTAGAAGACAGCAGAGGTCTGTTTCCTGTCTCTGCTTCTCACTTCTGGATTCCTGAACTCAATCTAATTTGTTTTATTGCTGCTCATGTAAACCTTCTAGGAACAGCATCAATGGAAAAGGATGCTAATCCAGTAATGCCAGAAAATCTGCAACTTAAAAGTGTTCTCTAGAAATTGAAAAAATTCCTAATAAATTCCACTTCTTTTTCAGGCTCTTTGCCTTCTGCTTTCCTCTGTGAAACACCCACCAATCATCCTTTATCACTGCTCTCCACTCTGTGATCCCAATGTAAACAAAACCCAGTAGAATAATCAAGTTTTGCCAGAGAACTAAAAAAGCACCATAACATTACATCTTTGATCCTTTCTGTAAGTTATAGCAGCATTTGAGACCAAAGCCTCAGCATTCTAATGCTTAAAGCGTTGCTCCCAGGTCCTCTGCAATGCTTTGGATCCTGGTATTAAAACAAAGAGGTATTGAACAAAGGATGTGCCCACAGGAACGTGGACAGGAGTTTCTGTGAACTGTGTGTAACAGACCTGCTTTGTGCCTGGGGACATTTACTATGCAGATTTGGTTCTCTGGTGAGGCTGAGGAGTCACTGGCACTGAACAGTTTTGCCATAGCCACCTCTTCCAGCATCATAGTCTTGCCGATACTCATCTCGGACCTAACGGAGGAGGGGGAAAGGGAAGCCCAGAAAAGACAAGGAAAAACAATTTCTCAGAAACTGTTGCAGCATTAGAATACAGTCATACTGACAGCACAACATGTTATTGGCTACATGGAGCTGTCTGACTAAACAGAAGGTGAAGTGCATCATGCAGATCAGAACACATAAACCAACTTCCTCTTTCATCATGTCTGGGGACTCTCTAATCACCACAGCCCAAGCAAGGATGGTCAGCCTTGGGTGTTGGCAGTACAAGCCACTGCCATCTGCTCCACTTGGGGCAAGCCAACTGCTGTCCTATGTGTTCCTAACAGCCTCTTACATTTCCTGGGCTTACTTAAAAGCATTATCTCCCCAGGCATCCAAGAGCTGTTTCTGCAAGTACTTCTAGTGAAATTTAGGAAGGAGTTATTTATTCCTAGTGGATTATACTGCCATTGATCAGATGTCTTCCAGTGTTATCTCAAACAATGACTCCTAAGCTGCTATTTCTGAAATTTTTCTGTGTTCATTCAAAATCAATAAGTTTGGCAAAGTAACCATTCTTTTAAGAGCCCAGGCTGTACAGCAACCTACCTGCCCCCCTGATCGTCCACGGCCATACTGCCTGCCCTCCTTAAACCCTGCATCCCAGTCTGTCCTGATGATCCTGTCATCCAGCCTGGTCCCGTTGATGTAGCGCATCGCGTTTTCAGCGTCTCCTCTGGCATAATATCTTGGGAATATGTTAATGAAAGAAACAGACTTCTATTTTCACCACGGGGGAAAATGAACACTATCAAATGGGCCACAAAACCAAGTCTTTGCTTGAACCACTTTTATGAAGCTACACCATCTAAGAAAACTGTAGTGAAAGGGTGAAACATGCAACAATTCAAGCATTAAAAAGTTTGTCAATCATGCTGACATTTAACAGAACCAAGCTCTATTGCTAAAGAGTGGGAAGCCCCAGGCATGCTCTGTTCATGCTGCAAACTTTCACCAGTCTGGTGAGTTCACTGGAAGCAGTAACAGAATGACCCTCAGAAATGTGCACACAATGAAGTCATACAACAGGGGATGAAAGATACCAACGGAAACTTTACACATGTGTTTGTATGAAAAGAAAGACTTTTTTACCTCGGCACTGAGAATATGAATTTCCTACAGAGGTCAACTACCCAAGAGGTGTCTGGGTTAAAGTATCAAAGTGAAAGCAATCTGCTAACCCCACTCGAAACGCAGTGTATGCTCGAATACAGAATCACGATTAGAAAAGACCTGTAAGACCATCATGTCCAAGAGTGAGCCCAGCATTGCTCTCTCTCACCAGGGTCTCCCACAGCCGCTTTAGCAAATGAATAATTTTATCCTCGAAGAACTCCCCC